AAAAGATTTCCCAAGTAATACCCAAAATACTCCTTCCACCCTTCAAAAAGCCAAAAAAATTTAAAACAAATGTTACCAAGATACAGCACTGATACTGGAATAGAAAAACAGAGAGCACAATGCCCTGTATAAATATATATGTATACAGATAGATATATATACACACCAATTCATCAAAACCTTTTTCTTGGTTCGATTCAGGAGTACAGAAACCCCTAGGAACAAACGTGGACCTAACGCACTGCGTACTTCTACAGCACTGAACCATCACGGTGTGGGTGGACAAGCATGGGAAAAACAACACAAAAACACCTACGTTGTACAGAAAGTAACTATCTCCCCCCCCCCCCCGACCTGTCAGATATTTGATTCGGCACATCAAATCCTATAGAAATGAACCATTAAAGGGTGCCGCCCCGCGGCAGCGTCTGGCTCACCCTTGGAAGGGAGAGGGGCAGGGGCAGGGAGAGGGAAAAGGGAAGGGAGAGGGAAAGGGAAGGGAGAGGGAAAGGGAAGGGAGAGGGGAAGGGAGAGGCGAAGGGAGAGGCAAGGGGAGAGGGAAAGGGAGAGGCAAGGGGAGAGGCAAGGGGCAGGGGCTGTCCCCGGCGGTACCTGTCCCAGCGGCGCGGCCGGGCCCAGCAGCGCGGCGGCCAGCGACGGCAGCAGCAGCGACAGCGGCAGCAGCAACAGCTCCCGACGTCTCAGCACCGCCTCCATCTTGCGACCCGGGAATTAAAACGAAGTGAAACATCAACAGGCGGGGCCGGGAGGAAGCCGGGGAGGCGGTGGGAGGGGGGCCGGCCCTGTCCCTGCCCCTGTCGCTGTCCCTGCCCCTGCCCCGGCCCTGACCCGGCACCGCCGCCGCTGGGAGATCCCGAGCTCGGCGTTGCGGAGCGAGCCGTGGGCCCGGACCTGCGCCTGCCAGAGCCCGTCACTGTTGATAGGCGATTGCAGCCTCTGAAAGCACTTGGCGTAGTAAGAGAGCTACCACTATAGAGAGTGTTAATAATTACAGCTGTTTCTGAAATGGTCGGCGTGCGTCCTGAGGCTCCCGTGGAGCGCCTGCAATTGTCCGCCTGCGGGGGTTGTAGGGCCGGAGTGGGACCGGGCTGAGCACCGGAGCAGCGCACTGCAAGGGAGGGGTTCTTGAAATCAAAAGCAGGGCAGCGTACTCCGGCAGGGAGCAGAAGGGGTCATCGGAAAGGAAGAAGGCACAAGATAAAGTCTTGAAAGAGCTAGAGGTCATTCTAAAGAAGAGAAAACGGGAGGGAAACTTTTATGGTGGGAGTCAAAGCCATTGAAGTCTTAGGCAAAGACAAGGAAACAAGATGGATCTCCGAGTCCTCAGTGGGTAAGAAATGCTTTATTTACAACGAGAAAGATTGCTATTACCTATTAGCAAAAAACTTCCCAATGGTAAGGGTAGTAAATATTGTCTAAGGAGGTTTTAATACAGCAGTAAATTAGGTGTCCTGTGGAAGCAATCTGTAGCCTGATTTTATGTTGCTCTGTGACTCCCAATTGGTTGAAAATAAATATAAATCATAAACCCCACAGAAACTTAGTATTTTATATGTAGTTTGCATTCACGAGGCACTGGTATAAACATCTTGGCTCAAGGTACAAGGTCTTGGAAAATGAGGCTTTAGAGAGTCATATATTGTGAAGTACATTTCACACATTTACATGAAACCCTCAAATATTTAATTCCTAAACACCTTTATTATCAGCAGTTAGTACTCTTTTAGAGACTGGAAAAACCAAAGATGAATAACTGCCTTTGTAATAATCACAAAAGTCAGTAACAGAAGAAGGAATAAAAACTCAGATGTCTTTATTTCCACCACCTCTCTTTACCATCACCAGGTTTACTGAGTTTCTCTTAGGCCTGTTCTTTTTTTTTTTTTTTTTTAATCTGCTGTGTTTGGCAAACTGAAAGAAATACATAAAGAATCTGTTCACTGTGCAGTTCTCATAAGGCAGAAAACTAGGAGGTAAATCAGCTCACCAACACAGCATTTTGCTGAATCTTATCATGGGTACGTGAGTGATTTCAGGGATATGATGGGTGCCAGAATCCAGCTCTTGTCAGTACTTGCAGTCATTTGCATGTGCTGGTGGGAGGCAGTTTAAATTACGAAAATTCCTAACTATGAGTTACACTCTGTATAAATCAGAGTGGGGTTACCTTCCAACAAGACAATGTTACAGTGTTTTGTGTATTAAATTCATTAACTAAAATGTTTACAAAATGTACTAGAGGCATAATAAAGTTATCAGGGTACATAAAAGTAGAGGGAAGCAAGGATCATTGGTCTGCAGAATTTATAGATGTGGCAAAATTCAGGCTGGGCTTTCAGCTGACCTTGAGGAATTTAATATCTCACTGAAATAGAATAGTAGGGGAATGCCTGTTCATTTTTTACTGTCTTCATTTGTAAGGTTCCCAGTAAACTACCTATCAGTGCTTTCCTTCTGTTTCCATCATGCTTTCCTTTTTCTCTCAATCTTTTGCACCCTCTTTTCTTCAGACCTCTTTCTTATTTGCTTTTTATTCTCCTGGAACTTAATTAAAACTTGGAAAATTATGCACTGAAAATACTTTCAAGATACTTACGTTTTCCCCAAATTTCAAAGCTTTTATTAGTCTCACAGCACAACAGAAGTCATAACAGTTTTATTTAACATAAATGGCAAAATTTCTTGCAATAACTAAATAACTTATGATCAGCTTCACAAGTGAACAGTCCTTGGGTGATGCAGGAAGTACTCGGTGCTGGGACGGGCTGGGAGCGTAACAGGGCTTTTCCTTTTGGCTCAGCCCCAAGGCTTCTATGCTCCTCCAGTCTGCCGGTGAACATGTCCTGACATTTGAAACTATTAGAACATGTAACATTTGTAAGTATGTGGTGCTCAGACTGACTGCTGCTCGAGCTGCTGAGTGTGCCAGAAGTGCTGTATTTCATTGGGTTTATATTTAAGTTGGAAAGTCATGGTTTTTACTTTTTTAAAGTGATCCTGAAAAGCCATTTTTTTCTTTGAATCTTCATTATAGGCATGGGTTATTAGGAGGCAAAAGGCAGTATAAAGAATAAGGAAATTAGGTTTTAATTTCTTTTGTAACTAAAAAGAGTGATAAAAGCCTGGCCTTAATTAGTGATATGCTTTATTACTGAAGTGCAAAGTAAGAGTACTTAAAGTAGCAAGTAAATAGTTAAATCTCATGCAGCATAGGCTTGCATGAGACTGTTGTACTGTCTACATCCCTCTTAACGTTTTAGAGTAATAAATGTAATGTGTGCTCTAGTGCTTTCTTCTGTCAATAACTGCAATACCGATGGCTTTAAAACAGCCTTGAATCAATTCCGGATTGACATGGAGACTGGGAATAAGCTCACAAGAACAGTACAACACTGCAAAACAATTGATGATAGCACAAACAGCTTTGAAAACTAGCACAATATGGAGGCAGAATACAATGCCCTGCAGTGCACATCTAGGCCCCAGGAGCATCATGCAGCAGTATAGGGCTGCAAAGTAAACTCCCTGCTTGGCTGTTTATAAGGGTGCTATTAGATCTGCTATTACTTTTATCGCTACTTGAAGAGGAGGTCCTGCTCTTACCAACTTACATGCACCTCTGTACTCTGTACTATTGCATTCCTGTTCCAGCCCTTTCCCTTCACTGGTTCCCTTTTCCTGCATAGTGAATCAATCCAGGTCACTAATCTGGCAGAAAACAAATTCAGTAATAAACAAAACCAGTTTTCCAACAGATTAATGACTTGGATCAACTCATTGTGTGATGAGCACCAGAGAATGATCTAGAAAGAGGTGAAGACAGCGCAGCTTGAAGTGGAAGCTCTCTGTGTTGGGGAGTGGGATCCCTTGTTTTGAAGGCAACGATCCTTTAGACTGAGTTTAGCTGTAACACATAAGCCCAAAAACACATTGGAAGGGAATAAATTCTGTTTACTTTATTCAGAGTCAACCACAGTACTGAAGGTCGTATTGTGACCATGTACTCAAAGGTAAATATTGGGACTGTTAATTACTCTAATTAATATCTGTGAGGTAAAACTGGTTTTGGCTATGTAGAATAAGCACACACACCCCTCAGTGCACACTGTGCTCAAAAGCTGAGTGATCCATCTCAAAACGTGCACTTTGCCATAAGAGGTTGCTCCTGGGGGCGGGGAAGGAAACCTAGAATTGTTAAGATTGGAAAAGACCTCCAAGATCATCGAGTCCAACCTTTGACCGTAATACCAGCCAACTTCTACATATGCTTAAGGGAAGGGTCTTCATGTGAGCAGGGGTCTTTTTGACCTTTGGTTGTGATTTTTGTAGTATTATAATGAGGATAGTTCAGCTGTAGAATAGATGGACCTTGACTGAGTCTTTTGCCAAGTTAGAAGGGCAACAAAAGTGAAGGTTCTGGTGCACAAGTGCTGTGAGGAGAGGCTGAGGGAGCTGGGGTTGTTTAGCCTGAAGAAGAGGCAGCTCAGGGGTGACCTCGTCACTCTCTACAACCACCTGAAAGGAGGTTGTACCGGGTGGGTGGGGGTCGGCCTCTTCTCCCACACAACCAATGACAGGATGAGAGGACATGCCTTCAAGGTGCACCAGGGGAGGTTCAGGCTGGACACTGGGAAGAATTTCTTCACAGGAAGAGTGATTAGACACCGGAATGAACTGCCCACAGAGAGGTGGTGGAATCACCATCGGAGGTGTTTAAGGAAAGACTGGATGTGGCACTCAGTGCTGTGACAAGGTTGACAAGGTGGTGTTAGGTGGTCACAGTTTGGACTCGATGATCTTAGAGGTCGTTTCCGACCCACTTCATTCCGTGATTCTGTGTGAAGGTACACAAAGATCATACATCTTACATCGAAGATAACTTCGACACGTTCCACATTTTCCCACACCCGCGCCCTCGCGCCCGCGGAGGCCTCCACGCCGGCAGAGGGCGCGGCAGCCGGGCCGGCGGGGCCGGGCGGCGGCCATGGCGGTGCTGCTGGAGACCACGGTGGGGATCTGGTCATCGACCTGTACACGGAGGAGCGGCCCCGCGGTACGAGCCGGCCCCGCCGGCACGGGGTTCGCCCCTGTCCGCCACCGGCACCGGGCTGGCCCCTGTCCCCTGCTGGTACCGCGTCCCTCCTGCGCGGGCAGGTGGCGGCCCCGAGCGGGACAGCGGCCGGGCTGGGCGCCACTGGGGCGGGCGGGGGGATGCAGGCTGCGCTTGCGGCTACAAATGTAATGTATTCTAAATCAAAGGGCTGCTGTGGTCTTCTTTCTTAGGTGTCTGAAAAGAAACGGAGGGAAAATCAAGTGTGTTTCTGTATAACTAGCCGTGCTTAGGGTTCTTCGAGTCGCTAGAGATGGGCTGCAGGAAGGGAGGAAATGTTACCTCTGCTTAGAGCATTTCAGCGTTTATACATTGCACTCCGATAAGTCTCGACATAGTCTGCTCCAAAAACACTTTTCTACGCATTAAACTGAATATCTGTTGTATCTATTCTTCCTGTATCTGGAGTTTCCTTTAGTAAATGTTGATACAATTTCTTACAGCTTGTCTGAATTTCCTGAAGCTCTGCAAAGTCAAGTACTACAACTATTGTCTTATTTATAATGTACAGGTGAGGATTCTCAATTCCTTTTTTTTGTTGTTGATTTAAAATCACAAACACGAAAGCAGTATCTAATGTATTCTGCTTTGTGACAGAGGGATTTTATTATACAAACTGGAGACCCCATGGGAACTGGCCGTGGAGGGGAATCCATATTTTGGTAAGTATTTATGTATCAACGTGATATATGTATGTGTGTGTATAACATATTTATCAGCAATGAATTGTATAGGAAAATAGGGGCTCCAGTTTGATAATCTTCAACTCTCTTGAGGCAGAATTACGGGTGGGGAGTAAAAATGTTGATGCGTAAGCTTCTTTGGTTGTCATACCTTTTTAATTTCTACACTGCCTTTGGCCATTCACTTTTTTTTTCCTGGATGTTATTCTATCTTTGACCTTAGAAGTGGAGTCACAACTAACAACTTGTACATACATTTCTGTTTGTTTAAAAACTAGCAAATAACTGTAGTTTGAGAAGTATCATAACTAAGTGCTCTGTAGAAGGCAAAATCATTAGCAGTTTGTTACTACTTTTATTTTTGTAATAAAACATAGTTAATTGAGCATGAGCGAAACATTGAGGCTATACTTGATTTCCTCTGTGTATAAGAAAGTAATCCCTTGACTCTAAAAATGTATTTGAGTTAATTTTAGTCATGTTGAATGTGTATAAGGAAATCGCTTTTCTTTTTAAGACATTTTCAGTGGTCATGCTGACAAAAGTTGAAGAAATCATCCAAACAACTAGGATGGAAGTTAGCAAAATGTGTATGTTCTATATGATTCCTTTGAAATTGTTATTAAAAGTAGAATTAAAATTGCAGAGCAGAACTAATTATAAAGTGCTGGGGAACACAATATATGGAGATAAATAGTTCAGTTTGAACAGAGACAGTGTTGCTCGACTAGTGTTGGCTTTTGTAAGTCAGTCTGTCAGAGCCTCTTAAATACAAAACCCTGAACCCATGGATCCACAAATCCTCACTTTGTGGTCCTGGAAGCAGTATAACTGTGCTAAGCAGATGCAAGTCTAGGAAGATAAACTTACCAGACTTGAGCTCTCTGCACAGAATTGGATCAAGTTTATTTTGATATTCTTCTCTGTTACAAGTCTTCTGAGACTTATTGCTATGGCAGGTAGGGAAGTGCAGTGTGATGAGAGTGTGTGAGATCCTGTCCTGCTGCTAGCATGGAGAATGGCAGTTTGTCTTTTCTGCCTGTTCATTATCGCTGAAGTCCACAAAATCTGGTTTTCTGTTTTTCTTGGAAGAGACATTTTTGTATATTCTGGGTTTGTTTGAAGGCCAATGAAAAAATTTTTGAGATGTCTTATTTACTGTTTTACAGCATTTCATTAGCTCACTTTTAAAAATTCCTTTTTCTTGTAACGAATTTGTTATATATATTTTCAGTCAACTGTATGGTGATCAAGCTAGATTTTTTGAGGCAGAGAAGGTGCCAAGAATCAAGCATAAGAAGAAAGGAACTGTGTCAATGGTGAACAATGGCAGTGATCAGCACGGATCACAGGTCCGTATTCAGTGTTGGTACATGTCTGAGTAACTAAATGAAAATTCCATGAGTTTACAAAAGCAACACAACAATGATAGTGTCATCTCAATAGCATCATCTTGTAATATGGTCAAAAGACGTGAAAAACCACCCATAGGTAAAAATTTTTCATAGGATTTCTGGTCCCAATGGGTATTTTATTACAGACAAGAAAGAAATTAAAATGCTCAGATTCAAATCCTGTCCTAGATTAGTTTTATTTGTTAGCACTCAGTCCTCTATTTTTTTCTTTATTTATTCCTGTTACTACTGTGATGGGATTTTGCTAATGTATAAAATGTTTAGGAAAAAAATCTGTAGTTAAATGGAAGGGAAAAGTAAGGAAACTTGTGTTTGAAATCACCTTGAAATTTTCTGGTTATGACTTCATGTTAGTTTGGAAACTGAGATCATACCAGTTTCTTCTGTACTGTTACATAAAAGTGTGCATTAATAATGCAGTAAGTTTACAGTTTTACCCCACTGCTGGTATAAAACAGTTTTTGAAAGTGTTGATGTACCCTTTGTTGTTCATTGTTCACCTGCATTTTTGCTGTAGGTAGTGTTTTTTACATTTTTTAAAAGGTTTTTTGAATAGAATGCTATTGTTTCTAAATTATTATTTTAGGTCCATTGTCACTTTTATAAATTAAAATTACTCACTCGTAATAACCATATGTTGTAATTTTTAAAAATAAAAGTTTTTAATAATTGAAGAACAGTTGAGAAAAAAGCATGGATTTATTCCAACTAGAGCTTGTAATATATTCAGTTAATTTTGCTGCTTCCTTGCATCATATGTATAAAATTGTTTGGGTGGGGAGTTTAGGAAAAAGAGGTGATACTTGTGTTTATATTTAAGATGCAGCCTGCTAGTGTATGTACAGGCATATGGGAATGACTGCAGTTCCAAGGAACTTTATTGCAGCTTCTTCCTTGGGAAAGAAAAATTCTGGAAAGGGATTACATGGAGTTGCCTTACAAGTATAGTGTAGCTTAGTGTAACCTATACCAAATACTAGCCAGTTTTGGCTATGTTGCAGAGAGAATGAGGAGATGTTACCAGTCAGATAGTAAAGCGTGGGTGTAATAGTTGTGTTCTGTTACTTGTGTGTATCTGCCTCTTCCTCCCTCATTCATTACTAAGTGCCGTCCGTCTGTAATTTGTTACCAAGTGCTCAGTTGGTATCCTTTTCCAGAGTTTCAGTTTTTGCCCTAAAGTGAAAGACCTGATTTGTGTAAAGATACATTTCGGTGCCAGTTGATCTAACTCAGTGCTACTGTGTGCTAGATCTTCTCTCAATGCTACTGCATCCTGTTTTTCAGGAGAGAAGGGTTTGTGGGAAGGAGGGAAAAAGGTCTGGGTAGAATTAGGTGAAGTAGAACTGTGGAAGTTTTTGCCAAATTAATGAAAATGCACCTGCTGAGTGCTGCTTGTTGAACAGGTGATTAGAGCTCAGCTCCCAGCTCATTGCTGCCTGGAGGGGTAGCGTTATTCTTCCTGCCTTCTCCCTTTGATTAACTATGGTGCTTTACTGATCTTGCTCAAGAAACCTACCCAGCAGGTAGCTGTCTGCTCTTCTTCTGCCTGTCTGACTTTCTGCCAGATGGCTGAGTCAAACCAACTCACAAAAGGATCCAGAGAGACGGAGCTGAAAGCTCGTGCAGAGGGAGACTTGTGTGAGAGAACCTCTCTTCCTCAGGCAGTGGCTGTGAGCTGTAGGTTGGCTCACAGTGCTCCCAGAGCTGATGGAAGAAGACTAATCTTCCGCAAAAATCAGAAAGAATTTTTTTCCCATCAATTCAGTGAAGAGTCGTCCCTCTGCTAAGGTGAAAAAAACACCCTGAATTTTGGTATTCATTGTTACTGGTTTTGTGTCTTCTTTTATAGTTTCTTATTACTACAGGGGAAAACCTGGATTACCTTGATGGTGTACATACAGTATTTGGAGAAGTGACAGAAGGCATGGATGTATTGAAGACAATTAATGAAACCTTTGTAGATAAGGACTTTATCCCTTATCAAGATATCAGGTGTGACTACTTTTAACTTCACTTTTTGAGGAATACATTTTAATTAAATAAATTAATCTTTTTTTGAAACTAGATGAATATTTTGAAGTCAGGTGACCTGTACATGCTGTCTTAGACATTTTTTTTTATTCTAGTAATATTGGTAAAATAAGCAAGTACTAAATAAACAAGTATGTATATATTCAACTATACCGCCCTTGCAGAAGCGTCAGTACTAGAATTTACAAGCATACAGTATATTTGGCTGTTTGGGATATAACTGAGAATTAGCAGGGCCGACTTGCTGTTACTTGGGTAAAGGGGGTTTTATTTGCATGTAACCGATGCTGATCTTGATTTTGTTCTCTGTAAGGATAAATCACACAGTAATTTTAGATGATCCGTTTGATGATCCCCCTGGCTTGGTTGTTCCTGATCGCTCACCAGAACCTACGAAGGAACAGCTCGATGTGAGTGCTCATGATATCTTCTCGGGGAAGAGTTGGAAGAAATAATTAAATAAATTTATCTCTAGCAGTGTCCAGCACGGACTTAGCCAAAATAAGAATTCAGTCTTTTAAGGCTTTGTCTGTCGAATCCATTTCCTAAAAGAACTACACGTTTTTTCACACAGGAGGAGAAGAGGTGCTCTTCTGCTGTGCATCTTGAGTTCTGATATGTCAAATGCTTGTCAGTCATCTGAAGCTATTGCTGTGTTGAATCAAATACAGCTGCTTAGTCTTTCAAGAAAATGTTAGAAGCATGACTTGGGTGCTCTCCCATGTGGCTCTGGTGGAGTTAGGTTTGAAAGCTGTATTTTAGATTTCTATTTGCAGTGTAGATAAGCAGAACATTCAGAATATTCACCTTTGATATTACTTGTTTTCTGTATACTCTGGTAGAAGACAAAATATAACATTTACTATTATTAAAGTAGTTACCACTATTTTCCTTCTAACTGTGAAATAGTCTGTGTTTCCGTGGAAGTAATCGTGGTCATTCTTTGAGTTATATATGCTAACATGCATACTGTTCTGGGCTATTTGTTCAAACAGAAAGAATTTTCTAAAAGATAATTGGAGTAGTAAGTAATTCACTCACAGTATGCAGTTATGGAAGTTATATGTGAGATTATCTGCTTGCATGGAAACAGTTTTTTCAAGCAATGAATAAATTGACTAGAGAGAATATTGTTTATTCTCAAACTTAATACATATAATTACGAGATCGGAAGGAGGCTTTCATAGTGCACCTGCACTGTGGTTAGTCTCTGATGTGCCTTCAGGTACATTAAATGGTATATGGAGTTTAATAGCTCACTGCCATAACTGTGTAGAGATTTGAAAACTTTTACTTAGTTTTCTTTTTCATAGCCTTTCTGAAGATACACCTTTTGGTGTCTCTAAGAGGGAGAGCATTCTAGAGATGCTGATGAGGAGAAAAATTAAACCTCAAATCCTATCTAGGTATAGGTGTATATAGAAATAAAATTCTTATTTTGCTATATTCTGTTTAATATTTGAGTCTTACTAGACATCACAGGTACTTCAGTGTTCCTTATCTTCATTTCTGGTAGGAGCTATCTGAATTAGAAATGAACTGACACTTGTGATGAGCTGTTGAGTATGAGTGGGAGTATAAAAGAATTTAGAATACCTAACTGAATATGGTCTAGACTGGTCCTAAAACGTCATACATAGTTCACAGTACCTGAAATACAAGGATAACATCTTCTCTCTCTTTAATCTAAGTGGGAAGAACAGAATGAAAGTCCAGTTCTGCAGAGCATTAAGTTCTGCTTAAGCATTTTCATGTCTTGGGGTGTGAGGGGAGAGATCATACAAGTAATATTTGGAAAGTAAGAAAGAATTTTTGGCCATGACTTGGTAATAAATAGCTTTTTCCTTAATTTTTCAGAGTGGCAGAATAGGAGCAGATGAAGAAATTGATGACATGAAAGGACGGTCTGCAGATGAAATAGAAGAAGTTCAAGCAGAAAAAGAAGCAAAAACTCGTGCCATTCTTCTGGAAATGGTGAAAATCCTCCTACATTTACCTTGCAGATGTTATTCCAGTGTGCACATGTTATTAAGTCTAGAAGAATGTGTAATACTTATCTTGAAATTGCTTATCTTTTGATGATGTCATGTTTCAGAATCTGTGCTATCAAATGTCTGTGGTACAATGAAGAGGATTGAGTGTGAGCACTGCATGTGGTTTTTTGATAAAACTGGTGATACTTCACTTTCAAAGCCAGGATTAAAAGTGGGGCAGTGGAGGCTTTGTAAAAACTTACTAGAAATGCATCCAGTTAAAAAACATAACATATATAACATGCTGCTGAGTATCTGTAATCCTGGGAAACGTTTAGGATGTGTGGGAGAGAGCTGAGCTAATTTGTGATAATCTCTTCCCAGCACATAGAGTGGCATTGAGGTTGCATTGTTCATATCTGTAATGGCAGTCTTCCTCCCGTGGAATTAGTTGAATTTAACACTGATTAGCTCTGTGTTAACTCTCCTTCTTAAATATAGTGTTTGGTAATTGCTGGCAGTTGTAATCTCAGTAGTAACAAAAACTGTGAATAAACTTTGGAGTCTTTTTTAAGGGAAAAATTTAAAAAAAAAATACACACTGTTGAAGAATGAGTGAATCCATCTCACTCCTTTGCAACTACCAAATTCAAATTTATGGTGAATAGTTCACAGCAGAGACTAATTCCAAAGTCAAGCCCCAGATATGGCCACAATGTTGCAGAAAACTTGTAGGAGGAAAAGAAGTGCTTTTAGAACTCTCTGTTATGTATGAACAGGAAAGGCAAAGTAGAAAGCATTTGTCAACTTTGATGAAGTCCCAGCGGTGGAATTGCAAATAGATAATAATTTTTAGGTGCTATGGAAAGCATTTTTTTGTGGCACTGAGCAGGAAAAATAATTTAATTTTTGATTTTGTGATAGGAAAGACTTTTTTTTTTTTGAGATCCTACACAAGATGTGTTGCCAATATGCTGTGCTGCCTGTAAAGAGCTTTAGGCAAAAGTGATGAACATCCTTCTCTGTATGCCACAGGTGGGAGACTTACCAGATGCAGATGTCAAGCCACCAGAAAATGTGCTGTTTGTTTGTAAGCTGAATCCTGTGACCACAGGTGAAGACCTGGAGATAATATTTTCACGATTTGGTCCCATTAAAAGGTAAATATGGTAAAATAAAAGAGAAAACCTTCTTCACTGAAATTGAACCTGATTCCTCCCAGTCTGTTTAGGTTTGACTGTTAAGGAGTAGTCTGGTGTCTCATGAGATTTATGCTGTGTTCAGATAGAGACCACCACAACAGAGATGCAAAGACAGATCTAGCTAGGTGTGTATCCTGTCCCAGCAGTGGTTTTAAGTGAAATCCTAGGGAAGTGTAGGAACAAAAAAAAACATACGATACTTTTCCCTGCCCCCTGTCCTCTCTACTCCTTTCAGCAGTTTTTATCTCACATGCTGCATGAGCTGTATACAGTCTCTGAGTTTGTCTTCTCCGTGGGAATATTTATGGTTTGGGATAAAACAGCAAACATTTCTGGCATCTGATACACTCATTGTAAGGTGTTCCTCATGCCTGCTGCCTTTTTCAGTTTTGAACTTGGCTTCTGATAGTTTCAGTTGATTCCTCCTAGTACTGCTATCAAAAGATATGACGGGCAGTGAAGTCTACTTTCCTACACCTCTCTGTCCTATACCCTAAAGTAATTTTTTCCCTTGCTAAGAGCACTAGCCTACATACTCTTGCTTTGTAGTAGAGATTTCCTTACCTTGTTTCTCTTTTCTTGACTTTTTTCTGTTCTTTTATTTTCATTTCAAGATGAGAAAACCAGAACTATACATATTATTGAAGAAATTGTAGATAGGCAGTGGCACAGTGCTGGTCTCTGCATTGTTCTCAATTCCTTTTCTAGTGAATACTAAAGCTGGGGTTTTTTGTTGGCGTTTTCCTTTTTTATAATGCACAGTTATGATTCCACCCTTGCTCATCTTATAGCATTTATCTACATCATATGAACATCATTTGCTGTCTTGTTGGTCTTGTAAGGACTTTCTGCAATTTCTCCAGGTTTTATTTTTGCTTCCTTTAACAATTTAGTATCATCAGCGCTGTTTAGTATCATCAGCAAACTTTGAAATCAGTTTGCTCTTACCTGACCTTTTGCACGTTTATCAGTGCAAAGATGTTCCTTATGTCCTTTTCCCCAAAAGCCTTTGGTTCAGGAGTTTATTGGAATATCCAGAGGGATGCAGAAGACTGCATCAAATGCATCATCATCATCATGCATAAGCATATTGACTCTTTCAGAGCATTTCACACAGGTTATATTCAGGTGGTCCTGAGCAGACCCTATGTATTCAGACACACACTAAGTCTGTTCTGCTTTGAGTTTCTACCAGTTTGCGTGGTACTGGCACACAGGCCTGCAGACACCCAGATCCTAAACTAGATTGTCCAGGGGGAAAAAGGGGGTGGTGAAATGGGCATTATGTGCAGCTCTTACAACTCCAGCATGATGTCTGTAGGTCCTCGGGATTTATTTTTTTTCCTCTATCACTTTGTTCACTACCTCTTCTGCAGTCCTCCCTCTTTGAGATAGATTCTCTGAATAATCCACAGAGGAGCATTCTTGCACAAACCGTCCTGTCGCCTTCCTTGCTGATGGCTGCTGCCAAGAATGTCTATAACTTCTCTGAACAGCCTTGTATTCTGGTTTCTTCTTCTCCCCCCCCTTTTTTTCTTCTTCTTTTGACCTTGATCATCTTTTTCATTGTGTATCCTAATCCTGATTTGTCATTTCCTCAGTCCATGTGGGGAGGTCTTACATTACTAAGTCTCACCTTAATGCCACATTTCCTGCCCTTGTTGTCTGTCTGTCCTCCTTCAGCATCCTGTAGTCAGAATTCTCATGTCAAGTACAAGAGTTGGGTAATAGTGATGCAATATTGTATTGTTCCCATTTTACATCTACTGATTGAATACGTTTGGGCATCTTATTTTTGCTCTGTGAACTACCTGATGAAAAGATGGCTGCTAAAGAGATGCTTGCTAAGAGGAGAAAGTTTGTCACATGGTATCTATTTAAACTTTGCTTAAAATGACTGAGAAAACAGAATGTGAAATTTCTTGTCTTAGATTAGTGAAATGCAAAAAATTAATGACAAACAGTAATATTGGAAAATATATTTTGTTTCATTAATTAGAAATTCATCTCTATTTCTACACAAATGGTAGCCGCTTGTGAATTAAGTGTAATTACTCAAGTAATGTCACATGCATTTTTTCTGTGCAGACACCCCCACATCAGTTGGAGGTCTCATAAGCAAATCTTGTAACGCCTTCGAGGTGTTTTGATTTTGCAATTTTTTTTTATTTGAACTGTTACTGTCCCTTTTAAGTAGTGCTTTCCTATCCTATGATTTTTGCTTCAACAGCATTGACATTTTTAATTCTGTATCAATTTTTCAGCTGTGAAGTGATTCGAGACTGGAAGACTGGTGAATCTCTTTGTTATGCTTTCATTGAGTTTGAAAAGGTATGGGGGTTTTTTTAGGTATACTAAGTGTAGATTCTGCTTATAAAAGTTCATTTCTGGTATACTTCCATTAAGGAAAAACACTGACATCTTCAAGTGTGGGGTAGCTAATACAATATGTAATACAGTAGTGTCCTGTACTGGGCTTGTGAATGATGCTTACTGTATCAACATGCTGCTCTTGCTGTGAGATTGATAGTGATAGTTTTCTGGGTGGTGCATAGCTTGGTATGTGGTAACCTGTCTAATCTGTGAGGAAAATCCTGGAAAAGTGTTCTCACTTTAGCCTACTTATGTACTTAAAATGGAGCTTTTTTAAGTTGTCCTGTTTTCTTATTTTTCTGAATGTATTTCATGTGCCAAATATGTAACTGGAATGGCAAATTTTTAAAATGGTGGATTGAACTAAAGAATTGGAGTTTGAAATGCTGACGTTCAGAGAAAGCATAAATATTGCTTTTGAAATGGTACAATGCAAGAACTGGTATGCTGTAGGCACTTTTAGAAAGAAGTGTGTGCCATTAAGCAGTTGAATATTCCTGTGAAATAATCATGACTCAAGGTATTCTCGTAATGTTAATATCAGGAGGAAGACTGTGAGAAAGCCTACTTCAAAATGGACAATGTGCTGATAGATGACAGACGGATACATGTGGATTTTAGCCAGTCTGTTGCAAAGATTAAATGGAAAGGAAAAGGTAGGCACATTTGCAATACTTTGATCCTCGTAACTTAGTAAGCCATGACTTCAAAACTAAGCATTATGTAAAGAGTTAAGAGTTTAAATCATCTCATCTTCAGGGATATAAATTTTCCTGGTACTGTAATGAATGGAACAACACAGTCGTTAGCTCTTCTTTTCATTTGTTTTGTAAGAGTAGAAGGGTTTACAACTGTGCTATGTTACCATTACATTGCCATGGATTACCTTTTTTTATCCACTTTGCCACTAAAACATGTTTTTCCTCTCAAGCTTTGGCTATGATATTTTTTGATATTACTTATTAGCAAACTAATATGGCAGTACATTGTTACTTTCTGGTTTCTTTTCTTTATTCAGTGTATGACAGTCAGGTATATATAAGAAAAAGTCAGTATTCAGGCCAGGGATTTCTGCTCTTCACCACCAGTAGGTCAAACATACTGCCTAGCAGGTTGTATGTTATGAAAATCCAAGGTCAGGTGTTTGAGGATGTTTTGGGAGGAAAAGGATGGAGAAGGAGATGGATGCAGTGGTTATTTTGTTGCTGGGGAATGAAGAAAACACTGGACTTGGAGAGGTGACTGTGCGTTGCAGTGATGGCATTCTTGTGTGTCTTCTCCTAAAAATGCAGTAAGCCCTAGGTTGTTAGCATATAATTTCTACATGTAGGGTTCTGGTCATGAACACTGAGGTATTAGAACTTGTCCTGCACAGAGCAGAGCAGACTCTGTAGTCTATCTATACCATCTGCTTCAGTGCATCCCTATACTAACTGACCGTGTGGAAAACTTTTTCTGGGTAGATTAGGTCTAAATTGTTCAAAATATTGAAAAGCTAACTATGTTGTCGTCTCGTGCTTAGATGGTACCTAAAAAATGACCTAGGGGAGGTACTGTCCTTCCTTGGGAGGCCGTTTCTGGCCCAGCCAGCGAATGTTGCAGTTCTCGGTGTGGCCATGAGGTGGCAGCACGTTCGTTCCTCTGTGAGCTGGTACTTCCGGTGAATAGATGGAAGCGGGAATCTGTCGTGCCCCTCTTTAAATCCAGACGTGACCAGGGTTTTTTTTATATATTTTTCCATTTGAATTACTGAGCTGTAGCTGTCTCAGAGGCTTCTCTTTGTGCAGACCAGAGAAAAAGGTCAGTTAATAATGAGAACAGTCTGTGGGCTTTCATGGTAACAGAGTTTTAAGTAGTGTGACACGTGATCCCTAAATGTGGCTAAGCCAGTTGCTGAATTCTGCTTTGTGATCCTCTTCATATGTTGTCTCCACTAGACATGAATGAGGAGAAAGCCATATGTTGCTTAATGGTATCGGCAAGCAAGAGGAGGACAGAACATCACAGCTTGTCCCACTTTCCTACTTTGTAACCGAAATGTCAGGTTTTTTTCTGGAACTGCATCCTGCTATGCATCTCTGTATGGTTACGAAGAGCTCTTCTTCAGAACTTAATAATAGTTGTATGTCTTGGTTGTGTTTTTAGCTGTAATGAGTTGATTATATTTTCCTGTGAACAGGTGGGCGTTATACCAAGGACGATTTCAAAGAGTATGAGAAGGAACGTGACAAACCTTCAAAACTTGCTCTGAAAGAGAAGGTAAAACCAAAGCAAGAGTATCCTTTTCTGGTCAGAGATGCTTTTTGAATTGAGTACAGTTTATGAAAGCAGCCTGGAAAAGACTCCTTAATTTTCAAGCTTGCCAAATGGATGTTTTGCTGCTGCTTCATATAACCAACCACTTAATGTTTGAGATAAAATTAAGCATTTTGTGCTTTTCACTTGGTAGCTTTGCTGAATGTAGTTAATATGCTCTTTCACTTCCATGTTGTGTGCAGATAAATGTTCCAAGTCTGCAGCCCTGGAATGACATATGGCATAACAGAGTTTTAAGTAGTTTCAGAAGGGATATTCTGCAACCAGAATGAAACCAAAGTAGTAACTCAATCATTCTCTGAGATTATACTTGGCTTGTGGTAAACATGAGAGAAAATAAACCCATAGCTTGTTCAGATATCCACAGGTAGACAAAAAAGGAGAACTGGGACCTGGCTGAATTGTTTGACAGGACAGAATTCAGTGAACAACCCTGTTCTGACTGAAATACATTTTAAGTCTTGGTAAATGCTTGTCTGATAAGCAGGGATTTGTTTGCTTCACGAGCTGTTGTGTTCTGCTATTTATTGATATTAAATAACAGATCTGTCCTTAACCAACACCATCAGTGCCAAGTATGACCTTGTGCTGGATGAGGATGTAGAAGAGTCTCAAACAAGTCACTTGCACTTGGCTAAAAAACAAAAAAAGAAAAAGCACTACCACTCTGAAGATGATGATGACGACAAGAGGACCAAAAAATCTAAGGTACTTAGCTCTTCATGCACTAACTTTATACCTGTTCACTGGTTTCCTCCTAAAAGAAACCAGGAAAAAAAAGTCTGATATTGAATGAGGACATGGCATGCAAAGTCCCTTAAAATACAGCAGTTGTGAACCTACAGAAGGCTGATGTTAATATATGATTATAAAAGAGGCTTTCCAAATCCTTCTCAACTTTTGCAGCTTGGTATATCTAGGTGACTTTTCATCAAAACATCCTGAAGAGGCAGTGTAGCCTTTCATAAAGTAGGAGATCTTGAGCACTTTGTACCTGTTGTTCACATATTCCCAGTCATAAACTAGTAGTTAATCATATTTCATGACTGTAGACCATTTTTCATTTTCTTGCCAGACCATCATATGTTGACTTTCTCCCATATGGAAAAAACCCTGATCTCTTTGCTTTTTTTTTTTTTTTTTTTCCCCTTAACTGTTTTGGAAGCATTTCTGTAAAAAATCTGTGTGTGGGTTTGCTTGCATCCATACTGTGCAAGCACATGATACTGTAAGGTTGGGGCTGCGGAGGAAATCATCAGGAGACACTAGTTCTGTTTTTCATTAGTTCTACTGCAGCCTGTCAGGACAGCATTCTCACATTTCTGTGAACTTGGGATAGTCAAGACTTTGGTGTTCTGTGGAAACAACGTCTGCAATGATAAATTAGAGGGTTGAACCATCATGGAAGTGTAAGCATTAGGGAGAATTAAGCTGAAAAAAGAAAAATACCCAAACCCTACTATTTTAAAAGGGCAAGCTTTATGAGTGAGAACAAAGCTGTCTTCTACCAACTTTGTAGAAAGTGGTAAGGTTTCAGCCACAGTAAATAAAGCAATTGTCCTGTCATGAGTTTTGAGTACTGCTGTAAGTTGTGTGTACGCAGAGCAGTCACGATTCTGTTGTTCTGTTACATCACTACTTCTGTGATGCTTAAAAATAACTTTTTTCATGAACATTAGTAATTAAATTCTTTCAGTGCCGCCAGTCAGACCTATTGCTCATTCATGGACAAAGTCTTTTTTGTCACTGTGTATTAATTGTGTCAGGGTCCCTTGGGTGGAGGGGAGGCACCTGTTCAGATAACTGAAGTCTCAGCTGGAGCATGTACAGACAAGAGGTCTGGATTACTGTTGGTTTAAACTTCCTCCTGTCTTTTTGGCTGATCAACACTGTCGCTTCAGCATTCTTGAAACGGGTATTTCTGGCAGGAATCTTTGTTCTCGATGGTTCAGAAATTACACCATGTTCTCTCAGCAGAGAACATTTAAAAATCATTTAGAATTCTCCACCCCTGCAAATGGCACAACAAGTACCAGCAGCAATGTAAGGGGTTAATCTCTGTCATAATTGTTCCAAGGGGATCTGAGACTTCATAGCACAAAAACATGAATGAGGACAGATGGATTCCTGGTGCCTTTTCCAGGTACTGGAAGAGAATATTTTCTAGTGCTTCACTGTATGATCTGTTCTATGTGTATGTGTATCTTTTTGTGATTTAGTCACCTGCTCCTAGTGTGGTTTGTTCCTGTAGTCTCTGCTGCTGTATTCTGGTATTTCTTTCCCATGGCTTTCTTCTCTCATACTCACCTTTAACCAGTTTGCTGTAAATAGCTTAGCTTTCTTATGCCCAAAATCACTGATGACAAGCATCATGGTTCCCTCTTGGAGTTGTGAAAATGAATTTCTGGGAGGAACATTTCTCTCTGGATTTGAGTATTCTTATTAGTGTGTAGTGTATAATATGTACATACTGAGCACTATGTACTCACTCTCACATAGAGATTCAGTAAGTGTCTTGGCCTTTCCAGTGAAATCTGCAGCCAGCTTAGCTGAGAAATCCTGTTTGACAATTTAATTTTTTTTTTATTATTTATAATTTGGTCCTAATCTGTGGAACTCGTACCAGAGCAGGGGAAGGAAGCATGTTCCTGAGGCAGAGTATGTTCAATGTGAATACTGAGGCTGGCACAGAGGGTAACAGTATGGAACCTTTTGTGAATGGTAGCATTTTTAGTATAGGCAAACAAAGCATTCTCCCTTAACCCTATTTTGTAAATCATAGAATATATTTGAAGTAAGAACTTTAAAACAAAACAACAGCAGGCCTCCCACAACTAATTGGCCAAAGATCACAATAGCCAATGCTTCATACAGAAAGGTCTACCCTGAGTCCTTAGTGTGGCAGAGATTTTAATTGAGATCAGGGGCTTATAGTGGGAAGTTCTGGCAACTGGAATTGCAGTTTGTGCTATGAACTCCAGCTATGACTTGAAGGGGTTTATTTTCTGAATAGTTTCCATGATGTTAGGTTGTTTTTCTGTTCTCTTGCTGGTGATTTTTTTTTCTTTAGAATATTTTGACTCATCCCTTTCTTAGTCTGACTCCTGTTTCCTGAGTCTTCAGTAGTGTTGATGTTTTAAGAATATATTTTTGAATCTTGTGCTGTTTGACTTGATTCCAGTGGGTAGAAGAGGTAGGGTGTTGTGGCTTGCTTTTAGTAGGTAACAGGATGTGGGTCTGGGGCAGGAGGCTGGACTACCATGTGGGTTTGTGAATAGGATTTGGTAGTTTTTTTGAATACAGGTCATGCTTCTGCTTGAGATCTGTATTACAACTGCATTCCCCTTACAGTTTTTTCTGTGTGTTTTCTCTTGGATTTTATTTTTTAAGATAACTGGATCTGTGAGAAATATGACCTATCCAATGGATTTTTGTGCAACATAAGGGCTTCCTGACTTTCAGATTTCTGTACTGCATGGTTTCAACAGAGATAGTGATTTTTCTGGTTTTAATTTCCTGCTCTTACTGTGTTTTGCATACTGTTCCTTTTAGATTCAGGGTCAAGTTTGATCAAAATATTCCCTCTGAAAAGGCTGTCTCTATTTGTTTGCTCCTTTTAACTAGTGTGCTTATAAGTGGTGTGCTTAATGTATGTAGAGGTGGCATATGTATTCTGCTTTTGTGGTCATAGTATTTCTAGCTGATTTACCTGCAGGTTCTGTTTAGGAAGTGACTACTTTTGGCAAAGTCAGCCATGAACTTCCAGAGAAGTGTCTTTTCCTCTTTTCTTATTTCCTTCCTCAAACAACCCAGCCTGGTGCTGGATCAAGAATTGGGGTGATCATCACTTAGTCATTAGTCATTGACTGATGAGAGGCTGTGATCCTGTATTAAGAAAGCTAAACTTCAGCAATAGGAGAGAACCTGTTTTTAAGTAGGAATCTTTTTCTTCCTCTTCAAAACAGCATGGTTTTGACTTAGGGCATAAAGGATTTGATATCAAAATAATATTGTTTTTAGTAATTTAGAGTGTTTAAAAAACTGACCTTTTTCTATGGCAAAGACTTTAAAATGTAAAGTCTTATTTAAGAGGTAATGCAGCTTGTGTTGGTGGTGGACTAAGATGCAATTCATTCTGTTAGTTCAGACTACTACACCGTGTTTGTAGTAGCTACTTTGGTGACTTTTTTGTGTCCCTTTCAGACTTGCTCTGTACACTGTGGGGTCAGTACACATATACCTTAAATGCTTCTATGAAGGTCACTGAGCTTGGCTAACTCAATGCTTATTAGACTTCTTTAATCCTTTCAGCAAGTTGCTCTTTCTATGACATTCAACACGGCCTATTTGTCTGCAGCTTCAAGTGTTCACTAACCTGTTCCCTGCCCTGACTTGGCCAGTAGCCTGCCTTCAGTGCTGACAGGGTAGATTTTTCAACTGAGCCCTTTCTGCCTGTTTCCCATGTGCTGGGAGGTGACTCCACAACAAATCAGGTAGAAGGCAGCCATACACAAAGCCCACCACTTGTTTATCTGGCCAATATTGTCATGTTCCTCTGTACTGCACCCACCGGCATGTCCATCTTCTGATGTCCGCCTTCTGATGTTCTTGCCACATAGGGGCTGGAAACTTGATGTCTTGTTCAAACATATGGAGAGTGAGGTTTTTTGGGTAGAAGAGTAATATGGCTGTGCATCGTTTTGATGGACAAAGTTTTTATAAATAGCTCAAAGCACCACTGAGTCTTTTTGGTGGATTCAGATTTTAACGTCTTTACTGAAATAAGTTTGCCATTAAAGACGTGGAGTAGGCACTTGGCCACTCATGAGATTACTGTACCCAGCAGTAGGAGAATTTTTTTGTAATAGATCAAACCTGTGATTATTGATATGTGTGTTTATCCAGGGGGTTTATGTTGCTTATTGTAACCCTAGTATTTCAGCATTATCTATGTAATTCTAAAAGTGATGATTGCTCTGGGAACCATCTTGATCCCTGGCTTTCTGCTTAAAAAGTATTCGGAGTTTTTTCATTGTTCTTTTAAATAAATAAAGTTCACTTGTTTGTACATGGAGTATAGGTTTCAGCCACACAATTGTGGGTGCTACTGTCATGGTGCATATTTAGGAAAATCATATCTGAAACGAGGAAAGAAACACTGTGTAATTTAATGCAGACATTTTTCATAGTTCATCATGATCTGTGCTTAGTGTTGTCATTCAAATTCCATAAATTGGTATCTGTCTGCTAGAGCATATAGAGCATACTGAACTTTCAGGTCATCAGTCATACCTTCAAAACAAAAGTGTCTGCCACCTTTTAACAGCAAGATGTGTGTGTATCTTTCTGCAGGATTCTGAAACTCCCTCTTTTATTTTGTTTCACGGTATATCTTAATTGAATAATAAGAACAAACTGGTTTTTAGCAGTGTTTTGTATTAATAACATCTTTAGAGCTCCTTGAAAAGGAATGTCTACTTCCTAAGTGATCTGTATCTTTTTACTTTTAAACCTGCTACAATGCCATGGCCCGTACAGGTGTTGGTGTCTCCACATAGTAATTCTCGTGTGTGCTGTGCCATAATGTTGTCAGTATAACGTTTCAGGCTTGAGTGATTAGACTGTCTTTCTTAACTACAGTCTCAGTGGTTTCATGCTGCCTAGTGCAACATGTGGAGCAGTCGTTCTACTGACAGCAGTTCCTCCTTTTGTTACCTAATCTTTTTTTCTCTCCAGAGCAAATCTGTTCTGAGCACTGAGCCCGCTCAGTCAGCATTCTCAGTGACAACATGAAGAAATCTAGGAAAGTTCAAAATTTCCTCATTTTTGGATCCCTGAACTTGCAGCTTTTTTTTTCCCAGGAGTTTTTATGCGTGTTTAAGCACCGTTACCACTTGTAGTAAATAATGTTGGTCTCTCCTCTTTAGGTGTCCGTGTGTTGTTGGTCTCCGTAATGGTGTCATTCATTTTGCTGAAGCCTAGAATTTAGGCCGTTAAGAATTATTACAGGCACGTCTTAAAAAATGTTCTGCATCTGCATAGCACTGGTTCAAGCCTGTGGGGCTTGAACCAAGACTTATGATGGAAACACTTGCATTGGATACTTACATTCAAAATCCAAATCTAGCTTAGGAGCTTGTGTGATGCTTGTGAAGAGTTTAATAATATCTATCTGAGTGGAATCCCTGATACAATCTGTTGTTGCTAATGCTCCTTAGGAAATACATGGAGAAGCACTCCTGACAGCCCTGCATTTTTCCATACGCGCTGACAAAAGCTGTAAACTTATCTTCTTTGTATGGTTTCAGTAGGGTTTTTCTCGTGTTATCTTTCTCAAGTCATCATGGATGTGAATCTATTTCAGGTAGTACCAGCCCTAGCTAAGGAACCAACTATGCTTGACGCTTCTGTAGTTCTCTTCACTCTTCATGCCTTTGTATATTTTCCCATTTTGTCTGTAACTGCATATCTGTCCAATTCCTTTAACAGGATTCTGATCGAAAACATGAGGGAGAGCGCTGTAGAGAGAGGATGAAGAGTGAGAAGAAAGACCGGCATCGGAGTCGCAGCCGTTCTCAGGAGAGAGATTACACTTACAGCAAACAGAAAGACAAATACAAAGAAGACTTCCGAGTAAGAGACTGGGATAAAAAAGCAGACAGAAGCAGAAGTCCTAAGAAATCAAAAGACAAAGAGAGGTCCAGGTACAGATGAAGGATGAGGAAAAGAAAGAGGGGGACTAAAATATGTTTTCTTCCAGTATTTCCAGCATTCTGTCAAATGGATGTACAGTTACTGGATTAAAACCAGTTGCCTCCTGTTGGCAGCCCAACTTCATAATTCTATGAATGCCCAGTGTATGACTGTCGGGGTAAGCTGTGATTCCAAAACCGTGGTTTCAATAAAGTATTTTATGTTAGTTAATTGGTCTGAATCTCTGGTAAGGAATGTTGTCTAAAGCTTTTTGGAAACATAAGCATGCACTAACAAGTGAATTGCCCTTCTCCACTGTGGGAGGATTTGCATGACGTACTTCCTTTCTTCAAGGAGGTTGTTTTTACCTTTCTGCACTTTCAGGTGTCATGGTAATGAGTGTAATAGAAGACCTGGGGAGAGAGAAGTGTGCTGTGCACAGCCCTTCCAGAAAGTGGGCAGATACCATTTGTATATGACTACTTAAAACTCTTTCCTTCCTTTAAAAGTAAGGGCTTTTGCTTGGCTTAGTCCCACCATCTCCATGTGCTGCCACCGCTGTGCAGCAGTGGTTGAAGGCACTGAAGTGCTGCTGCGCTGCAGATTTGACAAGGATGTGGAGCCTCTAACTTAACAGCGCAAAGAGTTTCAGCAGGCATTTGTAGCCTCAGCTAGCCCCCAGCCCTATGTGGGACATACAGAACTTCTGATATTTAGAAACAAACACCCTATTTCAGGTGAATGTGCTCACTTTTCTGCAGCAGAAATGGCTTTTTTTTCCTTGCAAAAGGTAAATGCTTAAGAACTGAACCTTATATATGAATAGCGTATGGAAGTAAATAGTCAACTTGCATCAGTGGTCAAAGAATCTTCAGAATAAAGGGTTAAGAAATCAGTACCTCCAGAAGGTTTCAAGTTTCTGATTTCCAGTATTCCTTAGTGCTTTTAAAAATATACCCAGTGTCTTCAGATTGACGAGATTACCCGTTTATATTTTTGAGGAAACTTTCAAACGTGGTTGTTCAAAAGTAAGGTGATATTAATAGGTGATTAAATGACAGCGTGAGAGCTCCCAATTTGAAGGCAAGTACTTAATTTTAGGACTGCATTTCTAGGCTAGTCTGCTAACACTGGAGGGATCGCAGTTCCCCTGGCACACACATGAATGGCCGAGCACTCTGGATTAGGTGGGATTTACTGCTACGGTCATTGGAAATTATGGTTATGTGCATGTGGTTTTTCTGCAAATGGCACAGACAAGCTGTATGGTCAGCTGAAACCACAAACATTTCCTGCTGTTGCTGGCATTCAGAGGTGTTGGAGTGGACAGGGCTTTTTATTATCTGGGAGGTGAAGAGTTGACTTGTTCTAATCTAATAAGAGTTCACACTTCCCTATCCTCATTTCCTTTTCGTCAGTGCTATCTCCAACCTCAGTTTCAGTATTGACCTTTAGTGTTTTGTGGTAGTTAGGAAACAGAATGAAAAACACCCCACCTTCCTCTATAATGTTGAGAAATAACATTGAAATGTTGCAGCAGAAACATCAACTTGTACACTTCGACATAGCTGAGGCCTGTTTGAAGGGGAACTCTTCATGCTTTGGGCTTTTTGTTCAGAGGTTAAAGACTTAAACAGCTCCTCAGAGTTTTCTACTGGCTTCCTTTACCTGCAACAGCTTAAAAATAGGATGTAGACTCTAAACTGTTGTATTCTGTGGATAAAAGGAAGTTGGAGACCTATTTTGATAACATGTATTGTAGTTACTGTAGTTTTCTTTCTCTCTCTTGAGCTTGAGTCCAAGACTTGAAGTGTTCTTGACCGAAACCGTGTTATGAATGGGGCGTAGTCTTAAAGCACTAAAGGCAAGTGGGAGAGGGGCAGGGTTTTGCAACAGAGATCTCTCTGTAATCCCATGGGCATCATACAAGTCAGTAGAAGTAGCATAAAGATTGTGTACAAGTGGTTGGCGTTACAGGATGGATGACACAGTAAACAGTTACCCAAAAACATCCATGATAACGCTGTGCTGCTTCTGGTGTGGGCTCTGCCTGGTGGCTCTCGGCCCTCTTGCTGATGGCTTCCTGTTTATTTTCTCAAAGAGCATGAGTGTGTTTGTGAAACTTACCTCAGTTGTGCTCCATGTGGCTTTGGGAGCTGGCAACACATAAGCATTCTTCATCAAAATCCTGTTTTGGCACGATGGTTTGGCGTGTTGGCTCTTCCTTTGGGATATGTGCTGGAAGAGTTGTTCTGCACAGCCCCATGCATGGATGGAAGAGTGTGCCATGTGCCTTTGTTTCTGTGATGCCAAGAATCTGTACTCTGTAGGTAAAGCTGTACCTGCTTCCTTCCGCTTGTCCAAAAAAACCCCAAATCAAACCAAATAAGCCCTAATAACCACCCAAACAAAAAAAACAAACCCCAAACCAAAACAAATCCCCCCCATTAGTTATTTAGAGAGGCATTTAAAAACTTTCAAGAAGTTCAGAATAATTTCTGAATCAGTTGCTGCTCTTATCTTTGTTCATCTCACCCTCCTGTAGCGTGATTTTTTTCATGTAAAACTTGTGCTTTATTGACCACAGGATTACAGGCTTTGCTTATAAGATTCCTAGAGCACGGGTAATTCTCCTTTTGTAACCAGTCACCTGCTGCATACATAGGGGTAGCACAAGCATTTTGAAAAATGTTAAATGAGAGATTTATGTGACAACTTGCTACAGGGCAGTATTTCTGTGTAAAACTCTTGGTCTGGTTACTGATACAAAGTGCTTTTTCTCAGTGAGCAAGCCACTATCGAATTGGTTAAACGTAGTAGGTGTGTTAAAAGGTGTCAGTAAACCATATCAAGGTTTAAGTCTTCCAAGCATGACATAAATTACTGAAGCTGAAAGACAGCTCCAAGAGCTTTCTGAAATCTTAAGCTGAACAAGCAGTAAACTTTTAAACTTGAAACTTGTTTGGGACTTTCTGATTGTAAAAGGTACTTTCTTGTTATAAGCCCAGTGGAAAACACTTGAGTAATAGCTGTATCTTGTTATATAAAAGGCAGAGGAAAATTAGATATTTTAGGCAAAACCAAGTTGGGATCCTGCTACATCAGATCTTATGATGGGGTTGTAATTTTCCAAGAAGTTATCGTTGTTTTTGTTGAAATATTGTTGAAATGAGTTCTCCCTGTTTTTTGTTCTGCCTATTCCCTGGTCAGATGGAGTGCTCACCACAATGGCGTAGTTTTAGGGAGATAGGAAAGGCAGTTGTTTTGGCAAAAGTACCTCTTCTAAAGATAGTGGCTCTCTACCAGCCTGAATACAGGATTGCCCATCAATAACTGAGCTGTCACTCTAGTAGGAGCTGTTAAGTTAGTGATGTAGATGTTTGGGGTAAAAAACTGTCTCCAAGTCAAAATTTCCAGTGTCTCCAACAGCACTGGCAGCAAACAGCTGCCAACAGTTCACTGCATTGTCAGCAAACATCTAGACTTTGTCTAAGTGTGCAAAACCCCTATTTAAAATTGGGAGCATAGCTAGTACTGTGTAACAGTTGAATACAGGGAGCTTGGCTTGAGGGTCTGACCCAGCCCTTCCTTGAAGGCACTAGGGAAATATTCTTGCTTGAGGCAGGATAAGGAATGTATTAGTTCCAGAGCTATTTAAAATATTCCTGGCAATAGACCTGCATTTGATTTAGCACTTGCTTTATCTCAACTGTCTTATGCTGGTTAGGGGCTAAAGAATTTTCACTGTGATACTATGGCCACATACACTTGTTTGATTTTCCCAGCAGGTGGAGTTTTACAGATGAGGAAGATGGTGATAAGGCTTTTCTCTTGAGATGATGCAATAATGTCTGTTTCCTTTAGCAAAGCAAATAGCTCACTGGCTTGTGCAGACCAAAACACCTGAGGTGTTCCGCAGTACCAGTTTCAAGAGAGTGTTTTTTTCATACTGAAGTCTAACACCATCAGGAAAGTGGTTTTGCACAGGAAGCCACCTTGAAAGTCATGCTTGGTCCTCTACGTAGCATCCAGGAGCTGCCACAAAAAGCTGTCCCACTTTGAGATTGGTAGTGATTCTCTCTGGTGAAGGTCTGGTTGTTTCACAAGCCACTACATCCTACAGTCCTAGGTTCTGCATCAGAATATCCATGAGTGGGGAGATCTTCCCCTCTGAAAACGTCTCTCTCTCACTGCAGCTCTTTCCCTCTTCAACATAACAACAGCCTTGAGCAGCAATAAATCTGTGCTGGGAAAACTCAGCATGCTTGTCAGCACAAGGGAGCACAGCAGAGAAAGCAAACGTCTATGAAACCTTGGGTGTTCAAATGTTTATCTGTCCTGGTGAGTGAAGGGGTTTGAGGCCATCTGAAAAATTAAATATGCTCCTTTATTTCTCATGGTCTCTCTGTCAACCAGTGACCACCTTGGTAAAGGCTCTTAACAGGTTTCAGGAATTGGGTAATGGCCTTCCTGGCTGACTACGATTGGACTGATATTGAGGTCTTTTCCTCATGGCTTTTTACAGTAGATGGGTTTAGTCATTTCGTTAGAAATGGAAATTGTCTTATCTAATTGACTTCTCTTTTCTTTTTATAAGCTCCGTTTTGTTCCTATTTATGCAGTAAAGAAAACATTTTAGTGAGAAATAAGGGTTAAAATGATACTGTGCAATGTTGTATGCTTTGCTCTGTTGCCTACCTGGATTATAAATAATGCAGCAACTTTCCTTTCCAATAGTACTGCTTCATAGTGGTCTTGTAGTGTGGTTGTATGGCATTCTGCAAGCTTAAATGGAGCAAAGAAGATCCTTCCTCTCCAGGGGTGTGGAGTCAAAGGCTGTGGCTGTTCAGTTTATAGGTCTTCTGGGCAGCAGCAAACTAACATGTTTCTTTAGTTATGTGATCTTAGGAACACTCCCCTATTTCCATATCCACTAACCTACCCAGCCAGACCTTTGTGGATCAGAGGAGGTGTTGTGCCAGTAGGATAGATGGTGTGCTGCCTCTTTATCCTGTGACTGCCTGGGCACTGCTTTACACAACAACAGAGCAACCTGGATCCCAAAGAATTTCCAGGACCCTGAGTGTAATGCAAAGGCATAACCATCTACTGGAACCATCTGGAAATGAATGGTGAGGTTTGCCTACCAGCAATCAGTCTTTGGATTAAACAGGATACCACTACAAAGGGTTTGGCCACCCTGCTTCCTCCCACAAAGTACGCAAGTAAGGGAGGGATTTCTGACTGGGAAAGGTCAACCCTGCTCTGTTGTGTCACCTTTAGACAACGGCAGAGGTGCTCTCCTTCCACAGCAGGGCACCCCCACCCTCCCTGGCCCCGGAGGCAGAGGGCACTGCACTTGCAAGAGCTGGTTGCAGCATCCAAATGGTCCCAGAGGTTAACCCCTCCTTGAGTCTTCAACCCTTCCTGCTGCCCAAAATCGGATTTTGGGCATATTTCTTTTCAGCAAGGTAAGGAACAAGCAGAGGAAAACCTCTGGTTGCTGCTGGGAAGTTGCCTGTCAGTCTTTGCTGTGGACAGGCTCTGTGTCTCTGAAGTAGCCTTTTGATTGAAGCGCCAGTAGGTTAGAGGGGGTTGTTTAATTTTTCATGTTTTGTTGTAGTCTCCCAGACCAGGTTCCCTCAGACGTGGAGATGTTTGAACGAGGCTTTGCAATATCAGGTGCTAAGCAAAATGTTGATTTTTTTTTAAATTCTTTTTTTTTTTTCATGTGTCCCTGAAGGCCAGAAATTTGCCAGATGAATGGGAATGAGGCTACCCTAACTTGGTAGAGCAACCCTGGTGGCAAAAGTTTTCACTTGACCCAGAATTCATATGCCATGTTCTTACTGCCTCACATTATGGATTCCTGCCAGAGTAGGCTTGACTAATCTTTGCCTGTGACTCAGAACTGAGATGTGTTGGGAACCTCTTTTTTCTTTTTCCCTTTTGAAAACTGAAGTGAAAGTTTATCAAACCGTACAGTTAAAAGAGAGCTTGGCCAGCCAAATGAGGAAGTAAAACCTTCCTATAGAATGAGTTCTCTCCTACTCACTGCACTTGTTTGTTCTCAGTTGACATCAGCCTTGCCATAAAGCCTCTAAATACGAGGTGGTGACTTCCTTGTGAGGCCAGTACTGCTCTGAATCCAGCTCCTGGCTGGCAGGTGGGGGGACGGTACTGCTGGGCACAGAAAGAACAGCTGTCAGGTAAGGTGCAGAGCCACTGGGGTTACCTGTGAGTACACCTCGCTCTCTGGGCTGTTTGGCTTCATTATTTTTGGCAGAAGGAGCAGTGAGGTTGGGGAAGAAAAAGGCAGATCTCAGCCATCAAAACAACAAATGGCTGGTCTTGTTATTAAGAGTTTATGTACATCTCTGATTTGTGAAAGTCAAAATTCTTGTTTTTCTGAAAGCAGAGCATTTCCTTTCCGAGAAATACTGCAGGGCTTGAATGGGCTGTCTTAGGTGGTTTGCAGCGTTATTCTCAGGGGTGAAGGAGGAAGAAGAGGTGGTCCAGACCTAAGGTGAGAAGGGGAACACTACCATAGCAGGGAGCTCTTGCTGCAGTCTTTGTGTTATTCAGCACACACATCTACTTTAGAGAAGACCTAAACTTGCTCTGCCTAGACCAGTGCCAGGTCTGTCTGGGGCTGTGTCCCCTCTGCCTGTGCTCAGGCAGGATGTGGCTTTGGTAGGGGCTTTGAGGAGTCCTAGCTCCCTGTGAGTCAAGCTGGTCTTTATGGTGGTTTTGTGGCCTGAGGCCACTGAAGGTGCTGCTCAAACACACACCTGCAGGGCACCAGGTCCTGCTCTGACTGGTCACAAGTAGAGCAAACACCTGTTGGAAGAACAAGATAAAATTATTCTTTAGAGTAATTCAATATGTAGTAGTTGCCACTATTTTTTTAAGAAAGTTTTTCAAATGATTATTTTCTGATCTTAAAAAATCTGTCAAAATAAAAGAAAGACAGAAGACCATAAGAGGTCTTTTGATTTTTTTGGTCAGAAGTACTTTTTAAAATAGTTAAGATTTTAAAAGTTAACATTTTAGAATGTTAAGATTAAAATAGAATTTTGGATACCTGACTAAAGCCATTTCCTCTATGTGTGTGTGTGTGTGTGTGTGTGTGCTCCTGGGGTCACAACAAGGGGTCAACAGACAGAGATGGGTGGTTTTTAAGCCACAACACAGGATGGGCCCACCATTACCTGTGGATAAATTTAGCCAGGAAATGAGAAGATTTCAGCTTTCAGTGGAGTGAAAACAAGGACAGCTTCCCAATGGGATCTGCTGAGATGAAGGGAGGAAAATGGCAGGTGGAAATCTAAGTAGTTTGAAAACTAAGGTCAAAAAGTTTATAAATGGGATTTTATAGCCTGTTTGTGATAGCAAAAGCTGGACAGTTTCTCCTTTTGTGCTGGTTGCAAGCAACCAACTGAGCTGTTGGACTTGGGCACACTACTGACTGTTTACTAACATGTAAGCTAGTGATATTTTTGTCCTGTAATTCCCTCTTTAGAAGGGTGACCTGAGTGATGTCCATGTCAAGTACTACACATTAAGTGTTTTGAGCCACTGACCACTGCTAGCCCAGATGTGATGGCTTCAGCTATATTTAGGTACATCCATGTATTTCAGCTCAGTGAATAGCTATTTCAAAGCTGAGAAACCATTTCAATAATGAAAAAGCAGTCAATTACATTGTCATCTTTAGTCAATGAATTAAAAACAGGGATTAGATGTAAAAATGGTTGTATTTATGGAGTGCACTGTGAGGAAAAACAGTCGCTGACTAAAAAATAAGCAATGCTTTAGTTTAGGTGGAAAAATACACATGGCAACTGCTTTACACTTATGATTATAACATAGTTAAGGTATTTTTTATTTTACTGATGCAGTTTCTCATTTTTCACATCATTGCCAAATTTCTTCCACAGAACACCTGAAAGTTATAAAGCTATTTAGAAAAGTAAAGGTCAAAGTTGTATAAGGTGGGGTTATAAGTAATTATCATGCTTTCCTGCCAAACTAAACAGTTTTAAATTAACTAAACACAATGTGGATTTCTTCCCCACAGCCCAGTGGGGCTCTTATGCCTTGGGTAGGAGCTTCACTCTGACTCCTCTCTCAGCTCCCTGTTTCCAGTACCTCTGTGCCTTCCTCCACACGGTTTTGGGTTCTGAGCTCCTGGGGTGGCCGGCTGCTGGGCAGGGAATGGCTGGCAGACTGGGAAGGGGAGCTAGTAGTTACAACGTGTTATGGCTCTGGGCTCGTCACTGAGGTAGTTGTTTGGTCAGTTAATTCTGTGTCATTTGCTGATCGCAACCAGCAAAGGGAGCAGGGTCACCCACATGTGGATAGAAGAACCAGCCACAGCTTTTATCCAGGTAGCACCAATAATTGTAGTGATGTGGCAGGAGAAGCTCCAGTGCAAGCATGCCAGCAGTGACTGAAGATGTTTGGCTTGATGAATGAGTGGTCACTGTGTATGTCCTTCTGTGTCACACTTGCTGGGCTAAAGCAGTTCAGGGTATTCCTGCATATGCTGCCCATCACCTTCTGTCACTGGGTAGTGAAACTTACATAGATAGTGCCATTCTGGAGAAGTGTGAAGTAACTTTTTTGCTACTTTTGCACACTCATTTCTGAATTACCAGTTTATCTTGACAATAGATATAAGTGAAATTGAAACTGCTTTCCAGATTGCCTATTGCCTGCTTCCAAGCACTGCCCTGAGAGCTTTCAAAAAACAAGCTGCTTCTCTGAATATAAAAGCCCTCACTGAAATAGCAAGTAACAGGAAAAGAGTAAGTCAGTCATTATCAGAATAGATGAGTGACAGAATTTCATAACATATGCTTGTGTGCATAGAGGCAGACACGTGCCAGGAAAGACAAAACTATAAAAAATGTTCAGAGTTCCCAGATACCTTGCACACAGCAAGTTTCCTTAAATCACTGGATAAAACTTGCTATACTTCTTAAGTTGCTATGGCATCTGAGCGCATCCAATAACATCTGACAGATATTTATCTCTGGCTGACAAACCACACTGAGCAAGTTGAAAATCCCCCGGTTACACCGTCCTTGATATCACTTCCTGTGAGGTAAGTCTGAAGAACCAATTCACGCATACAGGCTGTCTGTGTAGAGACAGGCTGGCGTAGCTCATGAATTAAGTTGACACCTGTCTGACATAATGTTTGGAGAGTGACAAACATCGTATGGAACACTCCGGTGCTTTTATAAATGAGAGTGGACCAGAAAAATGCTGTAAGTCTGAGAGAAGGCTGGATGGTCTCCTCAGAGAGAAGACAGCTGATCTGATGGTCTCTTTGCTGTTGTGCACTAGGCAAATAACTGAGATTACTGCCCATTCTTCCTTAACACTTGTATTTTGTTGTTTCTAATCTTTTCCTCCCTAAAGCTGATGCCTGTTGGACAACTCTAGGGAGACAGGAGCACTGGGTTTAAAGGGATGCAAACACCTGCTAAGATGGCAGTGGCCAGTTCAATTTCTAGCAAACCGGTACCACCACGCTCCAAAAAAGTGTCTGCAGCAGGGGTGGAAGTGAACCAGAGCAAGCTGGATCTTTTCTGCAAGCTGGGCTATGGTAAGCAGGACATCTGCAAAGTGCTGGAGAACCTGGGCCCAGAGGCCCTTGAGGATGATGTGTTGAAAGAACTGATTCGCATGGGGAGTAAACCTCAAGCTCTGGAGAACCAGGCTCAGCCTTCCCCGCTAAGACTTGTTGCCCGTGGATCATGTAGCACTACACCAGGGTTGAAGCAACTTGGAGAAGACGAAAGTGATTCTTCCGATTCCCTGAGACCCATTGTGATTGATGGCAGCAATGTTGCAATGAGGTAAGCTCCGTTTCCTCAAAGATATCTCTCTTCCTCTGAAGCTTTTGAATTTTAAAGCTGATGGCTTGAAGAATGTTTATTCTTCAGGTGAGAGGTGCGTTAATGTGTTTGATGTATAATGTATGAACGATCACTTATTCCTTTTCTTTGGGTGATGCACAGGTTCTTGATGTCTCGATGCCCATAAATATGCATGTCACATGCAATCACTGGCTCACTGACCTTTTATAAGGCAACAGCTGGCTAACCACTACTGTTAGTGGCAGTATCTCTCCCTTTTAGTTCACCATTGAATTTCCTTGCCTTTTCAAATGGGTACCTAGGATTTCTGAACCTATATGCTGAGAAGTTTCCAGGAAAAACTGATGAACAGATAATCAGACCAGTCAACTATCCTAAGAAGGAGAGGGGAAATAAAGACAGGTGACTGTGGTTCCTAACAACATCACAGGTGTAGTGTTTTGACTTACAATTAAAACCCAAAAATGTTCCCAGCTTGTATATTTTTTGTTGGGTTTAGGTTTGGCTTCAGTTTTATGGAAATATCAGGGAATTGATAGTTGACCTGCAATGAATGAATAGACTCATTTCCTCCTTAATAACTCTGTTTCTGTGAAATGCTACATCAACCCATCCTGTCCAATTACATTTCCTAAACAGTGCCCTGGCACTGTGAAAGAAGTCTTACTGATGGGGAACCTGGCATGTCCCTGTGGATGGGATGTCCAAAGACAGCAGTGAGTTGCCTTCTGTTTACCCAAGCAGTAAGGACAGCAAAGGAACCCAGGAGTCAAGAGTCCAGGATGCACTGGCTATCCCTCTGTGTTAACTTCGCTGTGCATTCAGCAGGGCCAAGCCTGTCCCTGCAGGTTGGGACAGGGCAAAGGAAGGCTTCCTCCTTTTGTTTGCTATCCTGTGAGGTGAGATGAGATCGCAGCCCCTCTGGTTAGAGGGCAAAGTGGACAAGCACATCCAAAGCAACTGTAGACTAAGCAAATTATGCCACCTTCTGGGAGAAGGCAGAAATCCCCGCTGAAAACAAGGGTTTCTTGCTCAGAGTGACTCACGAGGAGTGGGACATACACACCAGAGCAAAAGTGCTTGGCCTTGTCTGGGCCATGAACTCAGGTAGCCAGGTGTTTGGACCTCCTGCCCCACTTTGCATTTTTACCCTAGCCCCTTCTGGAGGTGTCCTTCTTGCTTCTCTGCAGAAGAACTGATCACCCGCTCAGGCAGCACGGCTGAGCTGCTCACCCACCCTGTCATTGTGCCAGGGGCATTACCCCTGACTGGTTACGTACGCTGTTCTCCGGTCTCCTGGCACAACCTTGTCCTCAATGATTTACCAGGGCTTTTTTTGGAACAGGCAGAGGTGGACAAGGCAGAGGACAGCACTGTTTCCAAGATGACAGAAGATGCGCTCTTGCCACTGAGCAGGAGGCCCAGAGTATGTTGGTAGCTAATGAAATAGGGCATGTGTTGAGCTTGGAGTACTGTGGGAAAGCTCTGAGATCATCATTCTGTGCCAGCCTGTGCATGGGAGCTCACTAGACAGAGATTATTTAAACAGAGCATTACAGGTATGTGCAGTGGATGATTTGAGCTAGCACGTTGTATTGCTTTCCTAGACCACATGCCCACCAAAAGGGGTTTTTGAGAAGCCACACGTGCTTGTGGCATGTAAAATTTAATTTTTTTTCCTAGAATAAATTCCGAAGCATGAGTCCAAGAGGTGTTTGCCTGATAGGTTATTGAAGGCTGGTGTTCTGATTTGGAGTCCTAATATCTCACCTAAAAGGAATTAGAGGAATGTGAAGCAGTTTTGAGTTTCAGAAAAGCAAAGTTTTACAGGTCTTCTTAGACATCCCAACATCTGTCTTGATAAAGACTACTTGGATGATGGAGGAAACTATTGAGCTTGTCAGTTCAGCTGGTATTGAACTGGCACAGCCTGGGAGGAGCTGCTTTCCTATCCTGGATGCCTTTCAAAATGGTGCTGAATGGCATTTACTTTGGCTAATGGGATGGGTCTGGTGAGTGTTTTCAGTATCCTTGTTTTAATTTTTCTGGTTTGCTGCTGTCAGACAGAGAAGGACTCTTCGCAGAAGTTAGGGGAAAAGGATGTTAGGTTTCCTTGCTGGAGAAAACTGCATCATCATCAACACCAACAACCATAGAAGTGCAGCAGAAGCAGCAGTTTAAGGATGAAACAATCAAAAAGTTAAAGCTTCAAGAGGCAGTTACCTGTGTGGAGAAAAATGTCTCGAGCATTGTATGTATATCTTAGGACTGATATTTCTGGAGCATTTCAGAGTTGGCATTGAGGGCCCACTGCAAGACTGCAAGGTTTTGAAAAGGATGTATATGCCCCAGGGTAATAAAGCATGTGAGTTGGCAGTCCTCAACCATCAATCAGCTTACCCATAGAAACTGAATGGAAAATAACCTTGCCTTCAGCCAGTCTCAATCCTCGAACGCCTCAGTACACTTTGTGTTTCCATCAGATGTAATGAGAAACTTAGCCGGCCTGCCAGCCTGTTCATGGGAAGTGGGCAGGACAGTTAGCAAGGCTAGTGGAAAAAATAAATGGAGTTGTGCTAATATGAAAAGGGAACTGTCATAACCCTATTCACAGCACACCAAAGAGGCTATCTACTCTAGTGCTTGCACTTGCACCTAGTTTAAAAGCTGTGATAGTACCAAGGCCCTTTGCTAGGCCACTGCAGCCCTGCACTAGGGTCTCCCCTTTCTGACAAAGCTGTGACAGATGCTGTGTCATGAATGGGTGGAGATGGGGCTATTTGCAGTTTTCAAAAGGAGTTGTTTTGCATAAACTGCCTCTCAAAGGAGTTGAAGTTGCACAATTTAAAAAGGACTTACTGCATGCTAAATTGCTGCTCCATTTTCTGAGAAATGGGCCCTGCTGGTCTGTGGCTCAAGTGCAATGCACTGAGGTACTGGCAGGATGGAGAGATGAGACTGAGTTACGACATATCAGTTATGGTCCACAGACTGGACATAAGTGACTGGCAGGAGCTGATCTGTGACCACACAGGGAGAATGTAGAGCTCTGAGTCCCCTGTTCCACTGCACAGCAGACACTGGCACTGTGTGGACACCGCAGCACACCACACATGTACGGACTGGTTTAGATTCACGGTCCCCAGGTTTGGCTGTAGCAACGTAGCAGGAAATGGATTAAGGGATAATGCTAAGAAACAGTTCCAGGTGCCTCATTTGCTTGTGCCACTTGACCTTTTGGCCTACTCACTTATGCTTGAGTACTTTACCTTCTGCCCTGGGGTATACCTAGAACAGCTTCCCTAAAGCTCACAGGATTATATATATAAGTAGTCAATGTTAAAGAAGGCTGTTGCTGAACTTTCTTTGAGTCATGGCATCAAAGATGTACCTAGAGTGCCTTTTAAAGGCAGTTAGTTATCTGAAAAAGCCACCCAAGCTTCCAATTCATCTCTCCAGGTGATGTTATGCCTATCCTGGGTAGATCCTGTCCTTTAAAACCAAGCAAAACAGCTGTTCTAGATGTGTTGAACACTTTAGACCATTTGTTATTGCTGAGGTTTTTGTAAGGCTTCCTATTGCCTTGGTATCTATTAACAGGCAATGAGGTTTCTTCCTCCAAATTGTGCTATTTTTCATTTGTGGTCACTGTTTCAGGATGGAAACTTTTATTGGGTGCAAAATGGAGCTTTGGTTATGAGGCTGATGTAGGCAGTGTCTAGAGATGAATCCCTGGGGGATGGTGACGGGAGAGTCATTTAAGACTGCAACATCGTCCTTGACTGCTCTGTCACTGTAGGTGGGTGTAGCAATTGAGAGAGTAATTTACAAGTGCATTTTCCAGAGGTGAAAGCCTGAGTGAGACTGTGGTGATATTAGCCAGAAAAGTCGAAGTACAAGGATGAGGTTTCTGTAGATACTGTGAGGGCGTTAATTCCTTTGGGACTTCGTGTAGAGTTTATTTTAGTTTCCTTGTGCAGAGGCAATTAACAAATTACCTTCCTTTACACATTCACTGCACTGTAGTCAAATTTTACATAATTGAATGCCAAGCAGTAACAGATCTCAGGGAGGGGGAGAAACTTAGAAAGAACATCACCTTGAATTGTTCTTCTTGAGGTTGTTTTCTGTCTTATGCTGAATATTGATAATTCTTCAGAATTATTGCTATTATTGCAGATATTACTAGTATCCTCTACGACGCTTGTTCTAGGGCTTTCCTACCTCTCTGTGCAATGAAGACAAAATCCACCAACTAGGGCAAGATAAAAGTGGTCCTGAAGTGGTCATCTCCACTGATGTCTTGTCCTGGTTTTGGTGTCCTGGGTTAGGTTCTCTATGTTTTCTGTCCTGCCTCTTGCAGTTTTCCTTCCCCCATAGTTTGTGTCTTGTTTCCAAAAAAGATCAGCATTTGAATGCTCTGTGATCACACCTGCAGCCGCTTCAGCCATTGAAGTCCCTAATGGCACTGTTACCACAGAACAAAATTCCCACACTTTGTTTCTCACAGGAGAGTCTGATGGATTTCTACTGGTGCTGGAAGAAACTCTTACTCCTCAGACAAGGCATGTGAAGCGTTTGACATGGCCTAATATCTTGCTGGTACTTTAGGACCCAAGTCCATCTAGATGTAGATATAGATGGAAGGAACAGGCTTGGATCACAGAAATGGGAGATATCTCTTTTAAGCATCCAAACTGCTTCAGATAAATTTTTTTTGGTTCTGCTTCTGAAGAGTTGTTTGGATCTGTCCAACCAGGGCACCCTGACAGGTTGTTTTCTTGGAAACCGGTGAATGACACAAAAGTTGTTTATTTTGCCTTTTCATTACTGGCTTGGTTAAAGAGAACTTCATGAAAGCTTTGCCTCATCATCCTCCTTTTTTTTTATAGCCATGGAAACAAATTGGTATTCTCCTGCTGGGGGATTCAGCTGGCGGTGGATTGGTTTCGACAGAGGGGGCACACATACATCAAGGTTTTTGTGCCACTCTGGAGAAAGGAGCCCCCTCGACAAGACAGTCCCATTGCAGGTAGGTCACCATCCTGGGCATAGTTTGGCAACCATTAGGTGCAGTTTAGAGACAGAGGGGGTGTGAAGAACCAGTACAGTTTTGCCCTGCAAAGACAAGCGTAGCCCAAGTTGTGTATCAGGCTTCCCATCACTTAAATTAGCCATTAATTCATTGCCCCATTCACTGCTCCTGGCTAGTAGCTAAAATTACTTAGAAGGATTTGTTACACTGCTTTGAACCTTCTGCTTTACAAGCACAAGTTGTTGCCAGCAGAGTTAAAGAAGGAGTTTTTCAGCTCGCAGTGAGTCTACAGAGCTTTTAAGGCCAGCCAGGAGACAGTGACGTTCATTCCTGCATGACTGTTATCTGTTAGCCTGTTACCCGATACAGAAGGTACATGGAACCCTCATGGAAGAGAGTTCCTCTTCTGGAAGAAGGAAATGTATCAGCAGAAGTCTGTGGAGGGGAGTGAGATTCAGTTTGTATGGGAATAAATCTGCAGGATTTGTGCCAGCAGTTTAGTGTCTGCAGATGAAGATCTACCATTCCTGCAGACCAGGAATGGTAAGAAGTCAGTGTTCTCAATAGCAGCAAAAGAAGTTTATTTATTTATTTTATCACACAGATTTTATCTCCAAATAAAGCTCACCAGGGCTGGTTATGAGCCTTCTAGCAACTAGTGGGGTAAAAAGGGCACTACAAGGGTTCAGTATGCCTCTGAGTGTGGAATTCAAGGTATCCTTTCAGGTAAGACTTAAAAGTCAAAAGAGTGTCTCAAATTTTACAAGTTGCCAAATAATCACCAGATATCAGTGCATCTGAAAATCACAACACTGTAAGTTGCCTGAAGTGCTGAAACATCTTTAGATTCCTGTAGGTTTTTAGCAGATGATTGAGACCTGGTCATTTTTAATGAGTTAGTTTCTCTCTTTCCTTCCCCTTCTCCCCCCCCTCCCCGCCCCACCCCATCCATTTTTGCCAACCACGCAATCAGATCAGCACATTCTTGAAGAGCTTGAAAAGCAATCGATCCTTGTCTACACACCCTCTCGGAAGGTGAAAGGCAAGAGGGTAGTTTGCTACGATGATCGATACATAGTGAAAGTTGCTTATGAGAAAGATGGAGTCATTGTTTCCAATGACCACTACCGTGATCTCCAAAACGAAAACCCTGAATGGAAATGGTTTATTGAGCAGCGACTACTCATGTACTCTTTTGTCTGTAACAGGTAAGAGACAGTTTGTGTTACATAACCTGGAGTTTAAACATTATGGGCCAAGTCAGCTCCAACATCAATGCACACCCCACCAGTAGCAGAATACATAATAAGCCTTTTTCTGAAAGGAATTTACTGCAGCTTCTCTTATCTTGTTTCTTGAGTTCCTACTCCTTCAGGAGTAGTCTACTACTTGGTGTTAAACTCTCTCATGTCACTCTTCTGTGAACTCTTCTATTTGAATGACAGTATTAGTGACCAGCTTTGCTTCTTTCCAGTTCAAGCTGGAATGTTAAACCAAGCCTTGGTATCTTTTAATTTCTATTTCTAATAAGAAAGATAATGAAATCCATGAGAGAAGGCTGGCTGGTGGTATTTTTAATTCCCCTACAGGACAGAACAGCACTTTTTCCTGTGCTTTCATAATCATAACTTTCTAGAACAGGAGAGACAGGAAACTGGTCTCTCTGTCCCTTCACCATCCCATTGGGGAAGGTTTTCAATAAGGCACTTGCACCACGCCTGTGAGGCTGAGTTGAGCTCTCCTCAGTCTGTACATACTAACATCTCCTGAGTTTCCTAATAGCTCAGGTGTTTTGGGGAAATGCACACCATTCAGACATCCAGTGTGCATGGACAAGTGCTTACATCCGTGACTTTTTTTACTTTTCCAGGTTTATGCCTCCTGATGATCCGTTAGGCCGGCATGGACCTACTCTTGATAACTTCCTCAGCAAAAAGCCAGTGCTTCCTGAAAAAAAATTGCAGCCTTGCCCCTATGGTGGGTTTCGTCTCATGCTGTGAACCTTCCCTCCTCTTCCTCCTGCCCCTGACGTCCCAGTGGTGCTTTCCTTCGGCTAAGTGACGTTGCCATGTGCTGTCCTGCTTTGTGTGGTAGGGACTTACCCTGGGGCTGCTCTAAAGTGTGATGCTTTTTCCTCTCCTGTTTAAGCGGCTTCAGCCTCAGCCAAGGCAGCAGCTGCTTCGGGCTCCTCCATCCTTGCCTACACACAGCACCCAAACTGGGCACCGTGGCTGTGTTGACCACCCTGCCTGCACACGTTTCTCACTTTGTGAACTTGTGCTGTAGCACTTGGGAAAGGCCATCCAAACACTTTCCCCCTTTCCCCTCCCAACACCTCTCCAGCAATGTGCAGGTTTCTCAGAGGTAAACCCCTATGCCATTTTTTTAAAGCAACCCTCTGTAGCAGCAGATCTCCCAGCTCACTGAGTGCCTGAACCAAAACATAAATGAGTATCAGACACTTCCAAAATAGCAGAGACTTCCTCTCACTGTTGCTTCACCCTGTTATTTATGTCAGCATTATTTAAATCTGGGACCAACAGTACTAAATTTGAAAATAGCAGTTCCTCTTTTCCCTGTTCATGCTCATCACACCCCTGCAAATGCCTGGTGCTGGGGAGAAGTGATGAGTGTGCTAATTGATGGTGGTGCTAGTGACAACTCCTGTCTGATATTTTTGACTCTTTTTTTACTCAGGTAAAAAATGCACCTATGGCAATAAATGCAAATTTTACCATCCAGAGAGACTACGTCAAGCTCAGCTTTCAGTTGCTGATGAGCTCAGGGCCAAAACAAAGGTCCTGTTAACTCTGGGGAAAGAGGAGGATAGATGGAACTGCTCACCGTACAAGAGCAGAGGAGAGCCTGCACCCTGTGAAGCCTGCACAGAAACTCTTCAAGAAGCCAGAGGTTGTGCAGGGCCTTCCTCCTGCTCAGGGAGGTCCCAGAGGAGCTATCCTGAGCAGAGAGCCAGCGCCTGGGCTGGTGGTCCTGCCTCTGACCTGGGGCTGGACCAGTGCTTGCCACAGCCAGAGCCACTGCGAGACCAGCCGCTCCTGGAGCAGATGTCAGCCATGGCCATTGGCAAATGCACCTACAGCTATGACTGGTCCGTACAAACCTCTCGGGACAGGGAGGTGATGGACAACCCTCATCACCGCGGTGACCTCAGGCACAAGCTGTTCTCACTTCACCACCCTCATAGCTTGGACCACACCTGCTCACCGGGGCACCCTTTCCAGCAAACAGCTCTCCCCTCTGCGCCAGGCGGGATGTGCCCAGAGCACAGCTGGCCTCGGGAGAGCTGCGGCACGCACGGAACGGGGCAGAGGAGCTGCTACCTCCCTGATGGTGCTCGGCACAAACAGGCCCTGGGGACTCAGCAGTGTGTTTTGCTGCAGTCCACAGTTCTTCCCCCCGACATGCTTCACTTGTACAGCGAGCACCAGCAGCAGCAGCAGCAGCAGCAGCAGCAGCAGCAGCAGCAGCAGCAGCAGCAGCAGTGTTCCCCCAGCCAGCCCCCAGGGCAGCCCTTTCTGTTAGACTCCAGCAACAGACCGGGCTTCTTCCAGGAAGCCCATGCGTACCCCAGTGCCTCTTACAGTGACTACTGGCCCACCCCAGCTGAAAGGCCATCCTCTGCCCAGCAAGTAAACATACACAGCTCCCTTTTTCCTTACAGCGAGATGAACCAGGTCATGACTTTGTACCCTGACATCAAGGATAAGGGGACTGGCACTCCTCCCCTATGAAGACAGGCTGAGAAAGTTGGGGCTGTTCTGCCTGGAGAAGAGAAGGCTGGTTGGAGACTTCATAGCACCTTCCAGTATCTGAACGGGATCTAGAAGGAAGTCAGAGAGGAACTGTAGTGATAGGACAAGGGGGAATGGCTTCAAACTGAAAGAGGGTATGTTTAGATTAGATGTTTGTTAGGAAGAAATTCTTTTCTGTGAGGGTGGTGAGGCATTGGAACAGGTTGCCCAGAGAAGTGGTGGATTCCCCAAACCTGGCAGCGCTCAAGGCCCATGTTGGATGGGGTTCTGAGCACCTTGCTCTAGTGGAAGGTGCTCCTGTCCATGGCAAGGGGTTTGGAACTAAATGATCTTTAAGGTCACTTCCAACCCAAACCATCCTACGATTCTATCACATTGCTTGTTTGGCTTTACTGATTCAAAGACACAGAAATTTGTGAAATCTCCAGAGCAAACCTTTCTCAATAAGCACAAGTCCTAGGGCAAAAAGATGCTACTCTGAGGCTTGTTATTAAAGCGCATTATGGCAAGGGTTACAGCTGTTCCAGGAATACAAGCATCAACCAGCTATGTTGCACTAGACATCGAGTCAAGGCAAAGGCTGTCGTCCACTGCAGTGGGATCACATTCCACCTTCCAGGAAAGGGAACAGCAGGCTGCCAGCATTTGAACCTCACTGGTGACTGGATTCAGGATGGTATAGATTTTCATTAATGCCCTGAAGACATAAGGCATGTTTTTCAAGTCCTAACCTATTGCTCAACTTCCACCCTTCCCAGTAATGGGCTCCCCCATGACCTGCCCGTGACTGCTTGCTCAGCTAGCACAGAAAACTATTTGGCCTATTTCCCCTAACAGAGGGCTGTGCTCTCTGCTAGAAGGCATCTTTAGGTCTGTGTTATTACCTAATTCAAGCCCAGCCCGATATAAGTGAGCTTTCAAAGACACATTTCGTGTTTGTTAAGCAATGCTGAGAACACACAGAATCACTAGCAGAGGTGGTGGAGCTACACCAGAGCCCTTGAAGAGAGCTGCAGGTCCATTTCTCAGGTATCACACACAACATAAGCCAAATCAGGGAAGTCACCTTCAGTGTAACTCCTGATGTGGACTGAGGGCTCAGGGTAATTAAAAAAATTCAGAAATCCCAAAGATGCCAAGAGGAGAAAAAGAAGGAAAAAAGCTTTAAAGTATCTCTTTTATTGAATAAGAAAACTTGTTGGCTTAACCCTTTATTACCAAATGTGGCCCTATAATGCAATCAATTATATGGATAATTTATGATTACAAATATTTAAAATATGTTCTGTTGGGACATGTTTGATTTTCAGTAATCTGTAAAGCTGCTAATTTCTGCATTATTCCACTGAATTCTTCAGGTTATAATTCAAATACTAAGGTTGACCCTGAGGGTTTTTGGCATTATACCAAAGTTTAAGTATGTCAGTATGACGTGTTGTTTTAAAAATGCTTTAACACATTATAAAATATTCATCTGTAGCACTTTGTTCTGGATAATGTCTTCTTTATTTTCTGGGGCTTGTTTGATTTTTTTTTTGCTTTTGTTTAGTGTTTAGTTTTGTTTGTTTTCCAATCCTCTTAGCACCAAAATGTTTCATCATTCAGGTGGGATTTTCAAACTCTCTGACCCTGAAGTATTTAATTTCTTTGAAGTGAAATCAGTATTGTTGGTTCCAGGCAGGAATGAAACATGGTCCTCCCTGAGAAGCTGGAATTCTCTTGCTTTTGAAAAGGGAGTAGTAATTTACATTTAGTGACACTATCACACGATGCATTTTTTGAAAGCAGTGATAGTTTGACCTGTTTCCCTCTAGAAACCACCACCAGCTCTTGTTTTTGGTGGAGGTGTTTAAAGACTCTTCAGGAAATAAGTATACTGTATCTGTTTAATTTCTTTTGACAATGTGGTTGGCTCCAGAAAATTATAATTTGGAGTTTGGAGATACGATTTATCTTCACAGAACATGACAGTTTTTTCCATGTGCCATATGGGTTGTCAGAATGGCTTATAAACTTATCCACTGCATATTGCATAAAGAATAGAAATTGTACCAAAAAAACCCTATGGAGTTAATTTCTGATGAAGTGCTTTGAAAAGTACTTGAGTTCTACAGCCATGGTTATTTGCACTGCGATGCACAATGCACCTCACCTACACTGAAGCAACCTGAGACATTTCATGGATTAAATGCCTACACTGTGCCTGTGCAGGGCCAGGCACATCAGCTTGCCTTGCAACCTGTACCAGGTCTTTCCCAACTACTGCTCTACACATATATACACTTGCAGACAAAGCGTGATGCCGAGTGGAAAAAATACCTTTCACCTACTCAAACAAAGCAAGTCCCCGAATAACAGCATTCAGAAAATATACCACAGCATCAGAGCAGGATATAACTGTACATGTCAACATCTATTTTCATGTCTGGAATGAATGTACCTATATCTTCTAACACAGAAAGCATTTAAAAATCTACAGGAAAATTGGCACACTGCCTCTATGTGGTGCCCTCAGCTTGCTGGAGACACGCATAAGCTTTTCTCCTTTTCCTTTGAGGATGCACAGAAATTTGGTGGTCATTCAAAAGACTCTCTCAATGTTTAAGAACTTATTTTTCTTTCATTTCTGTCTTATTTACTGAGGAATCTTTTAGTAAAACACATAGAATGTGCATTCTGCTGAGAAAGTGTCTGAGAAAATAAATCAGACTTCGGTGCTAAACAGAAATTAATTTCTCTTGGCTCTTGTGCTCACCAGAGAGTTTTTTCTCATGGAGATTTTGTTTGAAGGGCAGCTCAGCAGCAGCTCTGTGTCACTGCCTGTTTGAGAGGAGCTCTGCTGCTGGCCAGGAGCCCACAGAAAGCACAGACCCTTTCGTTATTTCACCACAGCACAAGCACATGGGGCTCATGCTCCAGGGCCCTTTTCCCTTTCCAAAGCAGGAGGATTTCTTTTTGCTTTTGTCAGGTCCTGAAGTAAGGGAAGGGGTTGCTAATAGAAAGGAGGTGGCAGCTCTTGTACAGACAAGGGTAGCAGGCTGCTGCTATTTGGTATCTCTGCTGAGATGCATTTAAGGCCGGCTCTCACTGCCAAGTTGAAAATGAACCCATAAATCTTAACAGGCTCAGAAAGCCCTTGATGTTCTTTGCTTTTTGGTTGTCAAGACTCTTTTGGAAGAAGCTGGAAGCAGTGGGAGCAATCCTCCAGGAGATGGGCTGCTTTCCCAAGGGAGATTTACAGTGTTGCCAAGTTAATTTTAAGATTAAAACAAGCCCAACAAGGCAGAAAAGGGAATCCTCTTACTTTCTCTACTCTCACCCGTTCCCAAACAGTCAGGAATCCACTGACATTCTCCCTTGCAAGAGGCTAGGGAAACTATACACAAATATTTTACTGAGAAGTCTTGGGTGGAGGTCACCCCTGCAAAAACTTCTCAGCATAAAAAGGGGGAAAGAGGGTGATCCTCCACCCCATGCAGTCCTAGGCAGCTCACAGTACCTCCCTCCCACCTCTTCTTAAATACAGACATTTCTCCTTCACAGAACATGGGTGACAAGCCTACTACTGTGGTAAGCTTAGGTACCATAAGAATTAATGCCATAAGATGGTGTATGGAGTAGATAATCTTGCTCTGTATCAAACAGTTGTATTTGCCAATTATTCGGAGAAGTTTAGATAATATTTTAACTCAGTTCCCATAAGAGCTGGCACAATTTATAAGCAAGCATTCGAACTAATCACAAACAACTAAATAGAACATGACTTATCTCCTCCTTAAAAATGTTGGATTGCTAGAGAAGAACAAGTAAGGCCTGTACTGCACCAAGTGTGACAGACCTCTGCATTCACTCATGGATACACAAGACTCCTGCAGCATCTACCTCCTATCTGCTGGTGGAATGCTTTGAACTCTTGTGAAGTGTTTAATATTACAGCACCACTTGTCATTAGTATTATTAAGAAAGTGCTGTGACTTGTAATCTTTAGTGAAGGGATTTTTTTTATAGCCTTTTAGCCTCGTCCCTTCTCCGCCCCAAGTTGGGCTCACTGCCTTGAAGCCTTGCAGCAGGCTCAGAGGAACTCCTTAGTAAGATGTACTGCTGTGCTGACTTGGCAAATGCAATCAAAACAGACATGCAAGTGGAGCAAAGCTGTGAACACAGCGATTTGTGGGGACAGCACACACAAGGCAGGGAGCCAGAAAGTTAGGACAGACAATGCATTCAGGGCTGGCACGGTTTTGAGCGCAGTGAGGAAATCAGATGATGCGCATCTGCCGATGAACAGAAGCATCAGAACTGGTCACTGTAGCCACACTGCTGGCTCCTCCTCTTTCCCTGAGTCAAACAGTTTCCTCGTCTTCCCTTTTTTCTCCTATTCTTGCTGGGCTCAGGATTTCCGTTGCAATCTTTATGGAGTGGGGCACAAGTTACCAAACACCTTGCCACCCCAAACCATCTCCTTCCACCTCCACAAAACCGTGCATCTGCACACAATGCCACCCCAAACTCTAGTTTTAAGCTCCCTTCACTTCCTTGCTCCTTCCCTGCATGCTCACCTCCTGCCTTGCTGTCCTACATATTCCTCTGGTTCAAGCCCAGATAGCATCCTATCTCTCCCTTCCCCTCTGTCTTCCAGCTGAAGGGGGTTTTATGGGTTTCCTTTCTTTCTTCCTTTTCTTTTTTTTTTTCCCCCCAATATTGTCTGGTTTGGGTTTTGTTGGCGCTGTTAAAACCATGACACAGATGGTTTTGGCCTGTCAGAGATCTGAGATGCTCAAGCTGTTTTCCCATTGCACCTTAAAGCAGTCTTCCTGGCAAAAGCTGTTTGGGGAAGGAAACAGAGGCACAGTTACATTCATAGGTGCTTGTGTGCTGACTTCATACAGCTTTCTTTTCTCTAAGGATCAAAGGGGATGCTAGCAGAAGCTCAGCCACCATATGCTCTTAACTACCTTAAATCCTACTATAAAAGCCACATTCATCCTTCACATACTGTTCCCTACTTTGTACAGTAGAGAGAGTTATTAGCACTACTGGTTTCATAGAGAAGACAAATTGTCATTAGGACATTTAATGGCAGAAGAAAAACAAACTAGGAGGAGGCAACAAAACATAAAAAAGTCAAACGGGGTAAACAGAAGTAAATTTTCTCAATAAAAGACAAAAAAGAAATGAAATAAAATTAATGAATGTTAGAGCTTGAAGAAGCAAGTACTGAACGTCACATATGGTAGGCTAAACCTCAGAAGGGAACTGCTGTGCAAAGGAAGACTGCAGAAGGTAGCTGCCACCCATCTGCACACTTGCAACACTGAGCAAAGTGGGTCCAGCCAGCTCTCCTGTGGCTGGCAGCTTGCTGAATTTAGTAGCTGTAATCTAATATCTGTAGACACTCCAAACAACTGAGAAAACTGCTAAATAAGGAGCAGCATCAACTCTAGTAACCAAATGAACTACAGCAATGACCACAAAGTCAAGACAGAGATACCTGCACCGTCTGGTGATGTGGTTTCCAGATTAGACTTCGTTTTACTACAGGAATTAACGTTCTCCTGGCATTGTCAGGAGAGCTGCACAGAGACAAGAACTGCCTAACAGGGCTAAAGAACAACCAATGCTTGCTAAGAGGGGGGCAGGAGGAGAAGCAGAGGAATGTGATTCCTCTTAATACTTGAAATGGTAAATGGCAAAATGTACTTCATAAATAAAACCACATTGTGCAGCTACAGGGAAACCAAAAGCATAAATGCCATGATGGCCTGAAAAAGGTTGCAGTCCATCCCACCACTGCTCCAAAAGTGGTACTAAGGAAATATTCAGCAGGGAAACAAACTTAAGTATGATTTGTTATTGCCAAAATATACACAGTCATTGTCAGACAACTATAAGCATTACCCAAAACCATCACTGGAATGAGAAATACCAAGTTTTCCCCACAGGAGGTCCTGTTAGGAAGAAGCTGAAGGGAATACAGAAGCTTTTAAAAATGTTATTTCCAACAGGGAAACATTCTTGGAGAAGAATTTCAGTATCTGCACATCCTTTCACTCATAATGTAATGTATGACATGTGGTGGATTTGGAGCCCTGGCTTCACTTAGGAACCAGATGGAAGATCTTTAAAACCTTTTGAGCATCTTCCTTAGGTCATATTTAAGCCTGGAAGAAGGGGGAAAAAGTGAGTATCAGTTTCAGCTGAAGTCAAACACACAATATTATAGAAAAAAATGGGCAGATAATCCAAGTTCTAGATCAGCAGAAAGGTAAAAAAAGTATTCTCCGGTGGTTATTTCTATTCATCTTCTGCAATACTGATATGCAACTGGGGATGGTATTTGGGAGACTGGTTTAGGTCAGTCTCTGCACTTGCTCTTTGATGTTCTAATATTTCAATTTGTCCAAGGGGGCTTAAGTAGAGTTGTTGAAAGAAAAAGTACACGCAGCCAAGTGGAAGCCTCTAGGAAATGTCTAGCAATTGACATCCAATAACATATTTTTAAAAAACATGATGGCCAAGTTCACCACAAGGTGTCAATGTGGTAGCACTAGAAACATTATTTGCTGCTCCACGGCTGAATTTCAGAAGCCGGTCCTATCCACTCACATAAATCCCATCAGCAGAAGTTGCCCTTCATCTGCACATGGAACAGGACCGACACAACAGCACAGGCTTTGTGGGAGAGTTTCAGCTCTGCTCAGCATGAAGCCAACTCTGCCTTGGCCTCCTGGCCAGAGAGGCTCCTGCAGGTTGAAAGAAACCATGTACTTGCAGGTGAGGCTTGATCACACCATCTGAAACGATTCTGTCGGCTTCTGTGATCTGCTGCTTCGTACACGGAGCTGAAACACATGGCACTGTTAGGCATTTACACCACACCTTGATTTTGGCCTGTGTTTTATGTTTAAGCAGCCCTAAAAGCGCACACAGCAGCTCAGA